AGCGGTGACGTATGACGTCATACTAGTTTCCTTATTTTCTGTTGAAGAGTTCTATCCACTAGTTCGGCTTTAGGTAGCAATTTTCACCAGAATAGGGGTTTGTTTTGGAATGCTCACCTTTCTGGATGCTTGACCCGGTCAATGGCAGACATAGAATGCTTCCAACCACACGGGGGTTTCTATAGGCTATTACTCCCCTTGCCTCTCTGAGGGGGCCAGGTTCTGGCCGTGGTCCCCGGTAGGCCCTAGAACTCCATACACATGACTGATGCCAAAGTCTGACATTAGCATATCAGCCGGTAAAGCTCCGGGGAGCCGACGGGGCTCCCCCCAGAAAATTAGGCTTTAGGTATACTCAGTATATGAAAATGTTATTAATGAGCAAATTATTATGTTTCTTAAATAAATAAATATATACAAAAAAAGTGATGACTGTAATAAAACGCCAATTTGTGGACGAGTCCTGGAGGCTTCCCGGAGATTACCAGGCTGATATGTATTTATTAGACTGTGGCATCAGTCAATTTTGATTGGTGTTCTTGCCTACCAGGGACCACGAGCCAGATTCCAGAACCTGGCTCACTCAGAGAGGCATGAGGAGCAATGACATAGAAACCGCCATGTGGTTGGAAGTATTCCATGTCTGCCTTCGACCAGGAACCCAGAAATGGAGGCGCCCCACCCCCAAAAAAAAAAAAAAACTCTACCTGGGTCAAAATTGTGTAGAACTATCGCAGAACTCCCCAATCCAAAAACAAGCAAACAAGCATTATGTCACAAAAGCCGCCATGACGCTGTCTGTGTAGCTCCCATCTCCCCGGGAGGGGGAAGGGAGAGCCCCAGACCTCAGAACCGGCCATCCAATCCCAGTTCAGAGGCTGAATGTCAAAAATGCGAATACCGCTGACCAGAGAGAGGGAGGGAGGGAGGGTTGCTGGGACTCACCCAGCAAATGGCATTCATTACATTCAACGCTGGTTTTCTGTAGAGCCCCCCTCCGGCTCCTCAGAGCTACCTAACCACAGAAAAGAAAAGGACTTACCCGGAAGGAAGCCGCCACTCGCACCTAAACTAGAAGTCGAGACAACGGGCTGCAACTTGCGACCTAAAGCAACACACACGCCAAGAACATTAACGAGGTAACGGGCGGCCAGGATTCCGTTCGACCTCCAAAAACCTCCCGCCTGAATGTCAGTAAAGACATATTACCAGAAATGGCAGCTAAAGCAGCAAATTTGCGAACGTTATGGGCACAAGGATAGATTACAGGCTGACTGGACCAAATAACCCTGCGGATGACCTGGGAGAACCGAGCCCTAAAACAGGGAAGAAGGGGAAACAGGGTCAACCCAAACCCGTGGCGCGCTAATAACGGCAAATAGCCGCAAGTGGACAAAACACATGATGCACCACCTGGCCGAACCAACCAAGTATAAACCACCCAAGGATCCCTCTGGAAAGTCGCCGACATATTTTTCACCAGAAAAGAAGGAGATGGCTGCAAACGAACAAACCTACCACCAGGACCGAAAGAACAGGAACCCCTGCGCCAGTGGAGAGCATGAAAGCTCACCGACCCGACCCCCAGAGGCCAATGCCAACAAGAAAAAAAAGTCGTACCAAAACAATTCCGAACCGAAGGGGGTTCCACCACAAATCGAGGAGGAGAGAGATAAAGAGAGCACCTGGTCCAACAACTAGGATGGCCCAGGCGGCGCATGAGCAGGCCGGAGGTGAAACAACGCACGAGACAGCTTGCGAAATGGAGTGCAAGTAACATCCACACCAAGAGCAAGCTGAAGCGGTTCTGCCAGCACCGCACGATACAAGGCAACAGTATATGGCATAGGATGATGGTCCTAAAACAGCCAAGAAAGGACAAAACAATCAGATCCGAAACAGAAGACAATCTACAAAGAAACAAAAAATGACAAAAGGACAGCCAGGAAACTAAATCGGGCAAGACTCATGAAAATGTGAGGTGCCAGAAGCCAGTCAATTGGAAGGCAATGAAAATGAGAAGCACACCACCCCATCACGAAATCTAACCAGTCCCCGAACCCTGGATGAACCGGGATGCCAACTCGCGTCCCGGAGGACCAGACACACCAGGGTCATTCCATCTCAAATCACCAAAAAGTCGCCTATGGCTCCCACTCGACCCTCTCCAAATGCCATGAAATTTTGTAGCAAGATAACCGTAGACCCTAAATGACTCTTTGCAAAATATTAAAAGCTCAATCTGCCTTTTGTTGACCAGACCACACACTAGAAGTTGCCTTGGCAGATTAATCAATCTGCCTTGGTTCTTAACACTTTATGCGGATCAGGACATAACCTGGAGTCCTGTTTCGCCTACCCACTTCCGCAATGTGGACATAAAATGATGTCCTGAAAAAAATATTTGTATAAAATTCAATTTTAATCCTATTTACTTTGGGTTTGTTTCAAACTGTGCACCATGAGGCTCTCTTTCTCACCACTAGGCTGCATGGTACAATAAGTTCATGAAAGGTGTTCACTTCGATCAAATGGTATTACCATTTTACCAGGAAAACTCACAAGTGGACCAAAAAGATAACGTTTTATTTCCTGCAAATGGCTTTGCATAATGCCTTTGTTTTGTACAAATACAACACAACTGATCAAAAAAAGCTAACATTGCTACAGTTCCACGAGGTGGCAATTTGGGCCCTATTGCGCTGGGACCCGGAAGATTGGCCTCAAACAGCAATAGTATCTCAACACTTGCGGTACGCTCCAGACATAAATGATGACACAAGTCCTGCCTATGCTGACGCCATGCAAACTCCCGGACCATCTGGTGTGAGGCGGCCCTTGTTCACTTCAACACCTCAAGCTGAAGCAGCAACCGAATCAGAACCAGAGATGTCTGGCACACTGCCATTTGACGAGACGGTTTTGTCAGATGACTCTGACTCTGACTCAAATGTTGAACCTCCAGCGATTCAGTTGATTCTGAAAATCGCATGAACTACAAACTAAAACGAGTATTTTGATACCAGAATGAACACTGTATCACAAACTGCCATAAGTAGACTCGAACCTTCATAGATTTTTTTTTGGGTGTAGCGTGTGTCTGCATTTGTGTCCCAAACGGGTTGCAGGTGGGTGACTATAGCCGTTTATACTGGTAATGCTTCCCCCATATCATGTATTACATGCATATGTCTGTTTAGGGAATTTTATTCCGATCAATGTACAGTACAACCAAAAATAACTGTGTGCAACAAGTATAAACTTGACAAACATAACAACAGTAAAAACATTTCGTGTGTGTTTGACGCTCACTGATATGTTCCAGCGTTGTTTTATATTTGGCGCTATTCTATCTTATGCTTTGTTGATCTTTTTTACCTACGGGCTCATAGAACATTCTATTGCAAACACATTGGCACAAAAATGAATGACGTACATAGAATAATAATGTCAGGACAGTGAAATAAGTAGAAACTTTCAAAGCGCCGTATCGTACATGTGTCGTCGCGTCACCGATACCGGGTAACAGTTCCGCCACTTCCCACACTCTTGCAGGTGGGCCGTGACCATTATTCTACGTTTATATTCATATCACCGTGTTGGGAATTTCATTGTGAGTCCATTGATACCAAAATTAACACTGTAGGACAAGTGTGGAGGTGATAACAATCCCAAGAGTAAAAACATTTTGTTGCTGTTGGGCGCTCACGGCGAGTCATCTACGTAGTTATTTATTTGGTGCTGGTATCCCTATACCTTTCGTGACCTTTTTTACTGATGTTCTTCTAGAGAATTTTATTGCGAACACGTTGGTACCAAAATGAAATACGTAGCTCGAGAACTAAGGTCAGGAGAGTAAAAAGAGTATACACATTTTTGTTTTGACGCTTAAGCGACAAAAATGCCGCACGCACATACCGCTTTTTTTTTAACCTTAGCCGGGTACGTGAAAGTGTTAAATAACAGGTCCATATTCAATGGTTTCTTGTCCCTCTAATGCATAAGTACCACAAAAATTACCAACTTTGACCCTTTATTAAATCACTTCTATTGCCTGAAAGTGTGAAATTTGGCATACCAGGACAACTTTTGGTGTTGAATAACGTAGTGTAATCAATAAAGCAGTATGGGTGGCCATTCAGCTATCCATCCATGCTAAAATCACTTCCAACTTTTCTTGCAAGAAATTTGGACCCCAATTTGGAGACCACTTACTCATCAGCAAAAGGTCTAAATGCCACGATCTTTTGCAACGATGTATAACAAGCACAATATTATGCAGTGATGCAATAGCAACTCTGTTGTATCCATATGTCCAGAGGTGCAGAGTAGCAAAAACCTCTACGGAAATGGTTACCCGAACGCACCAGGAAAGGGAACCCTAACACTCAAGGGGAGTACTCACAGGGAACCTAGGGAAGGATGCTCTTAAGTGCATGCAGCCCTGGTACAGATGAGGACACTTGACCACCACACACAACAACACTGCAGAGGTCACCATGAATGCAAAACCCCGCCTATGGAAATCTAGGCTAGAGAAGACATCCACCCCGGATCACATTAGCTAATGAACTAGAGTGCTGGGTAGTTGGCAGCCCTCCCTTTCCCTCCCCCCTCTCGGGGAGGGAAGGGCTGAGCAGACGAGCGGGATGCAGTGGAGTGTGACTTGCTTGTTTCCTTGGGATTGGAGGGAGTTCTACCTCTCTGTTTGGTTTTTCTTTGTACTTTTCTTACCATGTGGGGTTTGTTTTGTTATGCCTATCTTTCTGAATGCCTAACCCTGATCGATGGCAGATAAGGAAAACCCCCCAACCACAGGGAAATTTTTCAGGGTCATTGCTCCCTGAAACCTCTCTGAGGTGGCCAGGTTCTGGCTCATGGTCCCCGGTAGGCTGAACTCCATAGACTAATGCCCCAGTGTAATATTTTACACATTAGCCCGATAGCTCCAGGGAGCCAAAGGGGCTCCCCACAGAAAAGATCATTGAAAACTACAGTACCTCTTTCAAAAGCATCATTTCTTGGGTCCCTAGGGCCGAAGTCGTCCCAACCAGAAAATCCTCCCCCAGAATATTCTCTGGAATATTCCCTTGGATCTGCTAGGAAAAAAATATGCATTAGTCCAAGCAATGGCTAAATGAAATCAAATCATCCACATACTATAAAACAATGGTTAAAACAAGGAGCACAGGGTCATCCTAAGCAGAAATGAATCTGACTGAAGAAATGTGGCAAGTGGGCTACTACAAAGTTTCATTTTGTAGATGTAGTAAAAATGTGTCTATTGTATAGGCGTGGAGCTGTATTTGTGCCGGATGGATGCTCACTTGATTGTTATTGTTTGGGGGCCGCCAGATTGGCTGTGTCTTACACGAGTTAAGGTCCATGGATGTGTGCTCCACTAATTTCTGTTGCCTTAGCTTTAGTCATATGCTGTTTGATGTTATAGTGAATATACAGTGCTTGGACTATATGTGTGTGTGTTGTTTATTACATGGCTCGTTTTTTGTTGTAGGATGGAACTACTGTAATTGTTTGATCAATAAAGCCACAAGTCTGGCAGAGCATTTGTTTTACCTCAGGGGGCCAACCTTTTTTTGATATATACATCAATGACAGATAAGAATATTACAAAACACATTATCAAATTTGAAGGTGACACTAAGGTTTAATGTAAAGAAGAAGAGAAAATTATAGTGAGGCCATATATAGACATCTATATATTTTGTGAGTCTTTGACTTACGGGGAAAAAAAAAAAACGCTGAATGTAATGAAATGCCATTTTCTGGGTGAACCCTGGAGGCTCCCTGGAGCTTACCGGGAGGGCCAAACAAGGGCCCCAAGCCCCAGCTGGCCCCAAGGGCGAGGCAAAAGCCGAGCAGCAAGAACCTCTACGGGAATGGTTCCCGAACGCCCCAGGGAAGATAACTGTCACACAGGGGCAGTACTCAGAGGGCACTTAGGGAAGGAAGCCCCTAAGCGCATGCAGCCCTGGTACTGATGAGGAACATCTGGCCACCGCACAACACAACACACGACAGTGAACTACATGGAGGCAAACACCGCCTAGGAAACTGAGGCCAGAGAAGCGTCTGTCCCGATTGACATTAGCTTACGAACCGATTCTAGGCAGCCGGCGTGGTGAGGTCCGAGGGAGGTCCCCCCTTCCCCTCTCGGGACGGGGAGGGCTGCGCGGACAATCGGCGCGGCAGTAAAGTGTGATGTTTGCTTGTTTCCTTGGTATTGTTGGGAGTTTCTACCTCTGTTCAGTTTTTTGTTTTAGTGTCTTACCATGTGGGGTTTGTTTTGCTATGCGTACCTTTCTGGGTGCCTAACCCCAGTCGATGGCAAATAAGGGAAAACCCCCAACCACAAGGGGGTTTTCCAGGGCCATTGCTCCCTGAAATCTCTCCGAAGGGGCCAGGTTCTGGCGCTGGTCCTTGGTATGTCTGAACTCAATAGCTAATGTCCCGGTCTAATATAACATACATTAGCCCGATAAGCTCCAGGGAGCAGTAGGGGGCGCCCCACAGAAAACTGGGTATAAAGTAGGATTCTTGAGAATCCCTTCACATGTGGGAATACTGTTGAATGAGGCAGTTGAGATAGCAAAGAGAGCCACGGAAAGAACTCGTCGATGTTTTATGTCAGACAACTTTGAAACAAATAAAAATAAGAATCAAGATGATCAAAGAGGATGAAGAAATGGTTAAGAGAATGGCAATGGTGGACAGTAGTAACATACTTAAAAATTATGCAATAATAAATACAAATTTGTCCTTCACCTATGGTAGAGGAAAGTCTACTTGGAAGGATTCAATTTACATGAGATTAAGATTAGGATATAAATATATCTGGCAATACAGTGTTGATGTCAGTGAAAAAGATAAGGAGTGTAAATTATGTAGTATGCCGCACGCCCACAACTTAGACCATTATGTATTAGATTGTCAACTTATTGGTAACTATAGAAATAAGGAAATAAGTAGTGTACCACATCAAATTGTTTGGATGTGTGATAATGGTATGATAGACAGTATACTTAGGAGCTACAAGACTTTTGCCCCAAGAGTGTAACAATTATATGCTGTGCTTACTATATTAACCTGCAATGTTAAATGGGATTCTTGTATTGTGATTTGTGTATTTGTACTCACCGAATTCGTGCGCCTCTTGAGGGACTTGAAGTAGAGGGGGGTAGAAATAGCCTAAGCTGCTTATCCCTTTGAGATGTATTTTTTTCTTGTCTCAATAAACATACTTGAACTTCAACAAGGTACTGTATTGCTAACCGGTTGGTCCCAAACTACCAAAAGAACAGCTTAAAAAAAACGAACCCCTGCTGACACATACACATACAGGGGCCTGGTGAAGGACCACCAACACAACAGAAGGGTGGATAGACCACCCACCCCCCTACCCAGCAAAATAAAAAAGAAAGAAAAAGAAAACCCTGTGAAAGCACATCCCCAGGAGAACATTAGGCAGCTGCTTCCTGAGGGTGTGTAACAAAAAGGAGGACTGGGCCGCAGAGACACTAAGACCCAAAATCATTTCAAGATAGCCTAACTCAACCAAGCCCAACTTAAAGAAACCTAACAAAAACCTAACCAAACCAAAGCTAACCTAACTAATCAAAACTAAACCAAATCCAACCTAACCTAACAAAACCCTCAACATATAGTGACACAATAATGTATTGTTATGTACTTTTGTACATGAAATTATTTTTCATACCTGGAAGGGGGGGGGGGGAATGACTACTTATCCAAACATGTCTACATATCCAATCACAATTGGGTCCAAGGTGTATAGAAGGGAGGATATCAAGTGCATAGGTTGTGCTGATAATTTCTTACATTTGCAGTAAACATGAGCAGTTACAAAGGTGTGATTTGAACAGAGGACAGGAGCAAAGCTCCGTTTGAGAAAAAATGTAAATTTAAAACAGTTGTGAGTTATGTATAAAGCATTTGCCATTCATACATAGAGGGTTTGGCAGCTGGATATAATTCTGCTTGACAAAATAAGAAAGTTTCTGTAGAAGGGAAACGAGTGATTATCGGCTTGAGCCAGGTTGCACTTGCGCACGTGCAACCGGTACATAAGCAGTAAGCATGGGTCACGACCTTCTCAACAGTACAACAATAATAATAATTACAATAATATGTTTATTTAGGGAAATATACATACAAAATGAGTTACAAGAAGAATATTGGATTTCTAGATAGATATAAATTAACAAAGCTATAAGTTACTTGTAAAATAATGATAATAAATCTGTCCACAAGAAACCAGTTTCCTCCCAAGCACACAAATAACAAATTCGGCCTGTCTTTATGAGGGACTGCAAGTCAGGGGAGGGCTGGCCCTCCCTCACAGCACTGTCCTAGGGATGGCACTGCTCTCCTCACTTTCACCACCAAGGACTACCACACTACACCTTATAATGATGGAGGAAAACAAAATACACTTGGGACATGGCCACAACATACAAGATACTTAGGGAAATTGATACAGTGCACAAGGACAGTCATGCTCCTAGATTAAATAACAGGCTTCTGAATAACAAATAACATAAGAACATAAGAACATAAGAACAAAGGTAACTGCAGAAGGCCTATTGGCCCATTCGAGGCAGCTCCTATTCTATAACCACCCAATCCCACTCATATACTTGTCCAATCCGCGCTTGAAACAATCGAGGGACCCCACCTCCACCACGTTACGCGGCAATTGGTTCCACAAATCAACAACCCTGTTACTGAACCAGTATTTACCCAAGTCTTTCCTAAATCTAAACTTATCCAATTTATACCCATTGTTTCGTGTTCTGTCCTGTGTTGATACTTTTAATACCCTATTAATATCCCCCTTGTTATGTCCATTCACCCACTTGTAAACCTCTATCATGTCGCCCCTAACTCTTCGCCTTTCCAGTGAATGCAACTTAAGCTTTGTTAATCTTTCTTCATATGAAAGATTTCTAATTTGGGGAATTAACTTAGTCATCCTACGCTGGACACGTTCAAGTGAATTTATATCCATTCTATAATATGGCGACCAAAACTGAACTGCATAATCTAAATGGGATAATCTAACATTTTATTTAGGAAAAGTACATACAGTACATAGATGCAGAGTTACAAACATACTGTTAGATTTAATAATAATAATAATAATAATAATATTTATTTAGGTAAGGTACATACATAAAGAGATTTTACAAAGTTTGTTGGCTTTATAGATAGAGCTAGTACATACAATGCCTAAAGCCACTATTACGCAAAGCGTTTCGGGCAGGAATATCAAATTCCATTCGGGCAATGATATCATTTCGGGCAATGATATCAAATATCAAACATGCTGAAACTGTGACCTCTTTCAAGAAGAAATCAAAGCCGTTTGTGTTCAGAATCTGTTAACATTAGGGATGTTGGAAATAACCAACAGTTTCATACATCTTTGTATTTTATACAACCTTTGTATTAACCACAAGTAGTTACTAAAATCACTAACTTGTAGATTTAATCATCATCATGATTTATATTAAACATATTGCCAGATTCTTCCTAGTCAGAGTGACGTGAGGAACGACAGGCAGAAACATGAATTCTTTCCACATTTAGTTGGATTTATAACAGAGTCTAGTTTATCATTTCTTTTACTAAATCTAGTTACTAATAAGTTTAATTTCATAGCATACTACTGCTTACTGGAACTCCTTTATTTAGTTGATATTAAATATTCTAGAGGAAATTATTTTAATGTAAATGATTTCACTTTAATTTCCTCGATTAGCTGCGTGACTTTAATAAATCCAATTTATGTTACGCAAAATTATATTTTAACACAGAAGAATTAAATGTGACATCAATACTCGTCACCATCTCTTTTTTCCTTAGTTAATTCCGATATATATATATCCATTTATGCTCGAGATGTCTATCGAGAGCCGCGCATGCACAATCGGGAAGAGGAAGAAGACGGAGAGAATGTCGCCGTCCATCACGCGACTCCGATGCCATTAGCAACGAGCAACAGAGATCCACGTTTTGATCTTGCTAAGAGTTTTGTATTTCGCTCCCACGACTAACAGCGGTGCCACGTCACTTGGCACATCTAGGCAGTGTCCCAATGCGCCAAGCTGTGAAGTTAAATTTTTTTTACATTTTTAAGTTTTGCCCCGAGGGGAGAGTTTATTGGGCAGCGCCACTCATCCTGTGAGTGAACACACCGCCATAGTGACAGTATTGGACAGCGTCACTCATCATGTGAGTGAACACACCGCCATAGCAGCACATACAACACCTCCCACAGGATGAAATACCCGCTGGGTTCACTTGTTTAGTCACCCTGAGGAGAGTGAAAGTTAAAGAGGTACTCACAGCTCATGATTGTGGTGATGATGGTACAAGATGCGGAGGTCCTGCAGGAGGCAGTAGTGGTGCAGGGTCCTGCAGGAGGCAGTAGTGGTGCAGGGTCCTGCAGGCCAGTAGTGGTGCAGGAGACACAGGGTCCTGCAGGAGGCAGTAGTGGTGCAGGAGGCAGTAGTGGTGCAGGAGACACAGGGTCCCGCAGGAGGACAGTCAACAAGAGGTCACTTACTGGAGTCGACGCCGCCGACCATCACAACACAGCGACCGCTGGGGATACACTTTATAACAATATTATTAACACTATAATATTACACAATTTAATTCATATTTCACATTTACATAAGTTTATAATTTCATGAGCGTATTTTATATATATAAGCTGTTTATATTTATTCTTTTTTTTAGTAATAATAACATAGTATATATTTACAAGATGGAGGGGAGGTGGAGCGCGCGTGTGGTGCTGGCAAGAGAATAAATAAATAATAATAAATGTTTATTCAGGTAAGGTACATACATACAAGAGATTTTACAAAGATTGATGGATTAATAGATAGAGCTAGTACATACAATGCCTAAAGCCACTATTACGCAAAGCGTTTCAGGCAGGAAAAACATTAATGACTAAAACTTAATACTAATTGAGTATAAAGAATAAAATGTGTTGAGAACAAATAAAAATAGAGATAAAGAGGGGAACATGGCTGATAAAGCAGCACAAATACAATTAGGTCGACAAACAACGTTGTTTAAAATAACAGACATGGGTTGACAATAGAGGGGTAAGGTAGGTTACAGGGAATTTATTAGGTAGTGCTTCGTTTTTATCTTAAACTGGTTGAGAGAGGTACAGTCTTTAACATGGTTGGGAAGGTCATTCCACATTCTGGGCCCCTTGATTTGTAGAGCATTTCTGGTTTGATTAAGTCGTACTCTAGGAATATCAAAACTGTATTTATTTCTGGTGTGATGCTCATGGGTTCTGTTACAACCTTCTATGAAGCTTTTGAGATCAGGATTGGCATTATAGTTTAGCGTTTTATATATGTATAATACACATGAGAGAATGTGCAGTGACTTAATATCTAACATATTCAGAGATTTGAGTAGGGGTACCGAGTGATGTCTGGGGCCAGAGTTGGATATTGTCCTAATAGCAGCTTTGTGTTGAGTAATTAGAGGACGTAAATGATTTTGGGTAGTAGAACCCCAAGCACAAATACCATAGTTGAGATATGGATAGATGAGGGAGTAATAGAGAGTAACCAGGGCAGGGCGTGGTACATAATATCTGATCTTAGAAAGAATGCCAACAGTTTTTGAAACTTTTTTTGATATGTTTAGAATGTGTCCCTGGAAATTCAGCTTGTGGTCAATGAGAATGCCAAGGAATTTGCCATCTAATTTGTTACAAATTTGGGTATTGTTTATTTTGAGATTTATTTGATTAGAGGATTTATTGCCAAACAGAATATAGAAGGTTTTGTCAATGTTAAGGGTGAGTTTGTTGGCAGTTAGCCACAGATGGACTTTATTTAGCTCAGTATTTACTGTGGCATTTAGAGCAAGGGGATCAGGACTGGTGTTACGAACCCGGATCCAGCGTCCGTGCCTGGAGCAGTGACAAACACGCCATCTGTGGGTCAGCTCCCGAAACCCCCGCCAAACGAACGACGACACCTAGTGAGGACAGCGTGTACTGGCCTCGAGGACCAGTTTCCAGTCTGGTTCAGCGCTCAACACCGCCGCTCCTGACCTCTGGTGAGGTGGTGCTCCGACGACAGCGCCATCTAGGGAGTGGATATGTCGGGCGTTTGTATCTGAGCCTGTGAGTGTGGTGTATTAGTGTCCCGGTTATTAATGACGTGTCTGCTTACAGAGCCAACCTGGGACCACTGTGTTGAAGGTGAAGTCAGTCTACCCGAGGCAGCCAGTCTCCATACTGTGAAGTTTGCTGCAGCTGTTGTGACGTCGTCCCCCCGGAAGAACACTGTGGTGTGTTAAGCCTGCCAGTGGAGTGGCAGTGGAAGGACTTACCCGGGACCGACGGTTGGAGACGATAATCCACTGGGGTATTGAGGACAGGAGGGTGATTGGTGATATCACACGAGACTCCTGTCTAGGGCGTACCCCTTTTATCGTTCGTGGAGTGGCCGTACCAGCCTTGGTGGCTCAGTACCTGCCAGCAGACCTGCTGGACGTGTGGTTGACGGCCTCCACGACGGTGCCCCCAGTGGACCTGTGTTGTGGCTGACCTGTGGCCAGGGTAGGCTCGGCGTTCTCAGAGGACACGTCTTGAGGCCACGAAGAAAGCACCGCGGACTCAGCACCTAGCTTCGAGGATCCATAGTCTCCCGCAGAAGACTACAGAGTTGATCCCCTTTGTAAAGTGTTAATACCCCTCCCCCTTGTGTACTCTTTTATTTTATATATTTAAATGGTGATGGTGTTCTTAACTTTCTTTCCCTACTCCCTTTTAAGTTACTTGCGTCACGGATCGCATCCCTTGAAAGCCTCTACTGGCTTGGGGTCGGATATATATATCTTCCTCTAACGACATCAGAGTAAGAACCCCGTTGCGTCCCGAGAGGGCCGTAACAACTGGAGTAAATGAAGGTTGTGTCGTCAGCAAATAGAATTGGTTTGAGGTGTTGGGAGGCATTTGGAAGGTCATTAATGTAGATGAGAAAGAGGAGAGGGCCAAGTATGCTGCCCTGGGGAACACCAATGTTGATGGGTAGGGTGGGAGAAATTGTATTATTCACAGAAACATATTGGAGCCTGTCAGTAAGGTAGAATTTGAGGTATTGTAGGGAGTGTCCTCTGACTCCATAATGATGTAATTTAAGAAGAAGGTTTTGGTGGTTGACAGTATCAAAAGCTTTACGCAGGTCCACAAATAACCCAACAGGGAACTCATTTTTATCAAGAGCTGTATGAATCGAGTTAAGCATACTAAGCATCCTTCTTGTATATAAATAAATAAATAAATTAGCACATAGTATTAGCTACTACCATTAGCTTTATGGGTTTTGAAATACTGTAGATAGAAAAGATCATCAGGGCAAATTGGGGTCCTTTGACAACCCGCCCGCTTCTGGTTCTTGTCGAGGCCACTAGTATTAGTGGCCCTCAGGTAAAATTCAGGTAAATATTATTTGGTGGATGTTGATCTGGATATTTCTTAAATGTAACTCAAACAAGGAACAATGGTTTCTAGCTCGACAAGCCACAATGTAAGACTGGGAACAGGAGATGCTTCTTCACCCACAGGGTTATAAACCCATAGAACTGGCTACCTGCCGAAGTTCATGCCAAGACTCTTGATTTATTTATTTATTTTATTTATTTATATACAAGAAGGTACATTGGGGGTTAACAGAGAACATAGAAATTAAGTTGATTTTACATTCTTGTAAAGCCACTAGCACACAGCATTTCAGGCAAGTCCTTGAACTAACAGATAATTTTTAGATAATTCACAGTAAAATTGACAAAATGTTTATAAGTACTTTACAGCTTTACTTTACAAGTACAGATAATTTTAAGTAGAATAATTACAGTAAAATTGACAAAAAAATGTTTACAGGTACATTGCAAGAAATTTTGACACAAAAGCAGATAATACACAATAATAACAATACACAATAATGAACAAGGATTACTAGGTACATAAGGATAACATCTCAGGGTTATACATTGGTTCACTGAAGCACAATATGAGGATCATTTCAAGGAATAATGCAGTAGAATATGCACTCAATACAACAACCATGATATCAGATGATAGATTACAATGGTAATGGTACCTTCTTGAAATTATATGTTAAATTAAGGATCTGCCCAAAGCGCTGTGTGCGCTAGTGGCTTTACAAGAATGCAAAACTTCAATTCTCTGTACTCTCATAAACCCAATGAATTTCAAAATTTGAAATTTTTGAAATTTTGAAATTTTGAAATTCAAAATTTTGAATTTCAAAATCAAACTGGTGAAGATTATCAAATCAAATGGGGGGAAGGACCTTCTCGAAGCCACCAGCTTCCTGTCCTTCTCGAAGCCACTTGTGTTAGTGGCCCTCAGGTAAATTCGGGTACAAAAAATTCAGGTAGGGAAAAAGCTAACCCTCTCATGTGATTGCCATATTTTAAGATCTATGGGCTCAGGGCTGATTATTTCATCTCCATCAACTTTTCTTAAGAGGGCAATAGGACAGACATGACAATGGGTATGAAAGTCGCCCTCAGTCAACCTGCAAAGTTTAATGAGGCTTGTCTCAAGCATCTGGCCATCATCTTTGGACAGACATTTTCTTCTATAGATATAGAATATAAAACTCTAAAATGTCTTAGATTTGCCCAAACACTAGTATGATTAATGTCCTTGTAAAAACATTGATGCTATAACAATTATCAGTACAATGTAATATAGCTAGTGTATATATTTCTTGATATAAAAATATTATTATTATGTAGAAAGTTTAGGCTTTGGGCCAGTTACTGGAACCATATGTGTTATTAGTACATATTTTCCCCAGACCATGATCTACCATTAGTTTTACCTTCAACCATTATGTGATTCCCACCACCCACATGGTGTGTGTGGATTACACCACTGCTGACAAGATGGATACAGGTTACACCACACCTGAGGATGGGTATGTGGTTCATCATCCACGTTATGGGTATGGGATTCACCACCACTACCCACAGGATGAATATGAATTACACCACTTCCCACAGGATGGGTATGGGTTACACCACTGCCCACAGGATGGGTATGGGTTACATCACTACCCACAGGATGAATATGAATTACACCACTTCCCACAGGATGGGTATGGGTTACATCACTGCCCACAGGATGAATATGAATTACACCACTTCCCACAGGATGGGTATGGATTACATCACTGCCCACAGGATGGGTATGGGTTACATCACTGCCCACAGGATGGGTATGGGTTACATCACTGCCCACAGGATGGGTATGGGTTACATCACTGCCCACAGGATGGGTATGGGTTACATCACTGCCCACAGGATGTGTATGGGTTACATCACTGCCCACAGGATGGGTATGGGTTACACCACTGCCCACAGGATGGGTATGGGTTACATCACTGCCCACAGGATGGGTATGGGTTACATCACTGCCCACAGGATGGGTATGGGTTACATCACTGCCCACAGGATGGGTATGGGTTACATCACTGCCCACAGGATGTGTATGGGTTACATCACTGCCCACAGGATGGGTATGGGTTACACCACTGCCCACAGGATGGGTATGGGTTACATCACTGCCCACAGGATGGGTATGGGTTACATCACTGCCCACAGGATGGGTATGGGTTACATCACTGCCCACAGGATGTGTATGGGTTACATCACTGCCCACAGGATGTGTATGGGTTACATCACTGCCCACAGGATGGGTATGGGTTACATCACTGCCCACAGGATGGGTATGGGTTACATCACTGCCCACAGGATGGGTATGGGTTACATCACTGCCCACAGGATGTGTATGGGTTACATCACTGCCCACAGGATGTGTATGGGTTACATCACTGCCCACAGGATGTGTATGGGTTACATCACTGCCCACAGGATGTGTATGGGTTACATCACTGCCCACAGGATGGGTATGGGTTACATCACTGCCCACAGGATGGGTATGGGTTACACCACTGCCCACAGGATGGGTATGGGTTACATCACTGCCCACAGGATGGGTATGGGTTACATCACTGCCCACAGGATGGGTATGGGTTACATCACTGCCCACAGGATGGGTATGGGTTACATCACTGCCCACAGGATGGGTATGGGTTACATCACTGCCCACAGGATGTGTATGGGTTACATCACTGCCCACAGGATGTGTATGGGTTACATCACTGCCCACAGGATGTGTATGGGTTACATCACTGCCCACAGGATGTGTATGGGTTACATCACTGCCCACAGGATGTGTATGGGTTACATCACTGCCCACAGGATGTGTATGGGTTACATCACTGCCCACAGGATGGGTATGGGTTACATCACTGCCCACAGGATGGGTATGGGTTACATCACTGCCCACAGGATGGGTATGGGTTACATCACTGCCCACAGGATGGGTATGGGTTACATCACTGCCCACAGGATGGGTATGGGTTACACCACTGCCCACAGGATGGGTATGGGTTACATCACTGCCCACAGGATGTGTATGGGTTACATCACTGCCCACAGGATGGGTATGGGTTACATCACTGCCCACAGGATGGGTATGGGTTACATTACTGCCCACAGGATGGGTATGGGTTACATCACTGCCCACAGGATGGGTATGGGTTACATCACTGCCCACAGGATGGGTATGGGTTACATCACTGCCCACAGGATGGGTATGGGTTACATCACTGCCCACAGGATGGGTATGGGTTACACCACTGCCCACAGGATGGGTATGGGTTACATCACTGCCCACAGGATGGGTATGGGTTACATCACTGCCCACAGGATGGGTATGGGTTACATCACTGCCCACAGGATGGGTATGGGTTACATCACTGCCCACAGGATGGGTATGGGTTACATCACTGCCCACAGGATGGGTATGGGTTACATCACTGCCCACAGGATGGGTATGGGTTACATCACTGCCCACAGGATGGGTATGGGTTACACCACTGCCCACAGGATGGGTATGGGTTACATCACTGCCCACAGGATGGGTATGGGTTACATCACTGCCCACAGGATGGGTATGGGTTACATCACTGCCCACAGGATGGGTATGGGTTACATCACTGCCCACAGGATGGGTATGGGTTACATCACTGCCCACAGGATGGGTATGGGTTACATCACTGCCCACAGGATGGGTATGGGTTACATCACTGCCCACAGGATGGGTATGGGTTACATCACTGCCCACAGGATGGGTATGGGTTACATCACTGCCCACAGGATGGGTATGGGTTACATCACTGCCCACAGGATGGGTATGGGTTACATCACTGCCCACAGGATGGGTATGGGTTACATCACTGCCCACAGGATGGGTATGGGTTACATCACTGCCCACAGGATGGGTATGGGTTACATCACTGCCCACAGGATGGGTATGGGTTACATCACTGCCCACAGGATGGGTATGGGTTACATCACTGCCCACAGGATGGGTATGGGTTACATCACTGCCCACAGGATGGGTATGGGTTACATCACTGCCCACAGGATGGGTATGGGTTACATCACTGCCCACAGGATGGGTATGGGTTACATCACTGCCCACAGGATGGGTATGGGTTACATCACTGCCCACAGGATGGGTATGGGTTACATCACTGCCCACAGGATGGGTATGGGTTACATCACTGCCCACAGGATGGGTATGGGTTACATCACTGCCCACAGGATGGGTATGGGTTACATCACTGCCCACAGGATGGGTATGGGTTACATCACTGCCCACAGGATGGGTATGGGTTACATTACTGCCCACAGGATGGGTATGGGTTACACCACTGCCCACAGGATGGGTATGGGTTACATCACTGCCCACAGGATGGGTATGGGTTACATCACTGCCCACAGGATGGGTATGGGTTACACCACTGCCCACAGGATGGGTATGGGTTACACCACTGCCCACAGGATGGGTATGGGTTACATCACTGCCCACAGGATGGGTATGGGTTACATCACTGCCCACAGGATGGGTATGGGTTACACCACTGCCCACAGGATGGGTATGGGTTACATCACTGCCCACAGGATGGGTATGGGTTACATCACTGCCCACAGGATGGGTATGGGGGTCCATGATGAACTAAACAACTTACAGGTTCTGAATTACTGAAGCCAGTAGAGTGAAGGGAAGGTGACCAGTCATCCAACTCTGCCCAGGATCTCAAACTACCATCTTAACAAAGGGAGTTTCCTTCACCACCTCATTTGTATTTAATCAGTATAATACTTGAATTTCCCACATTCTAAATTATTATGTAAATTATAATAATGGCATGCTAAATCATGCATAAGTAGGATAACAAAACAATTCTTTACTTAAGTACATTAAACTCAGGTTCAAGTTAAATGCATTCAAGTAAACTCGGGTATACCTGGGTTTTACTACACTATACAAAAACATCTTAATATCTTTTTGTACAATTTTATTTTGTAACTGCAGCATACATAAAATTAAAGCAATTATCCAGTAATTACTGTTATAAAAAGTTAATACAATATTTTAAAATTGCACCAAAGCAAGGAGAGTACAAATGCAAATACAGTATTATGATATATTCTAAAAATTCCTATGCAACCAACTTCCAAATACTGTACAGTATGTAGAAATACTCATAAGAGTGGTTTACCAAATCTGAGATTTTTATATGAAAAAGTTAAAATAAGGCTTAAAGATAATATGAAAACCACCTTTGTGAACAGAGCCTTAGGATAAGGAGCCTAAAAAGATTAGACAACACCCCCAATGCCCACTAGCACAGGTCGGTACAGCTAAGAACAGTCACATTACAGTACATAGTTTTAATGTATATTTTATTCTAAAAAGAATTTCCAGAGTGGATGAGTATACATACAAACATTAGAATAAAGGAAATAAAAAAAAAAGAAGGCCTATTGGTTCCTATTTATATCCACTCAAACTCCTTTATATATACTGTCTGTCTAAGCTATGCTTGAAACAATCCCATGTCTATTATGTTATCCAGTAGTTTGTGCCAGATATCAACAACCTTGCTTCTAAATTAATATTTACCTAAGTCTTTCCTGGATCTAAGCATCTCCAGTTCATGCACGTTCAGGCAGGCTGACATACTTCGTACAGCCACAACTGAGAAATTTTCAAGCAGTCTCTGTAGGGTCATATATACAGTATATAGGTGGTAGGGAAGCATTGGAAATCATTCAGTCCAGCCCAAGATGTAATTAAAAGTTCATACATAAAAAGTTGAAAGCCCTTGGTATCACCAGTGACCACAAAGAGTGGGGTCTGCTAACTTCAACTTACTTCTTGGGTACCTGCACTGTCTGCCACTAGGCTGCACCACCAACACATCTACAGGTTTCCCCGATCAAGCCAAGTCATATGTGAACTTCCTCATGCCAAGAAACAGACTCTTTACAAATGGTCAGCAGAACAGAAAGAAAGTGTGACCAGACCAATATTATGCTCACAAAAGTGCTTTTCAGATTAACTATATGCCTTATTTTCGACTGAATCTCTTAAATATCTCATTCACCTGTTCCCTAGAACATATTGCAAGATTGCAAAATGAAAACCAAGATAAATAAATCAATTGAAAGACAAGTATTTGGTGGAAAATGGTTCAAGGATGATGAATAGTGGAGCTGTAAGGCAAAGAGCCCACCACCTTCATTAGAAAACATGAGAATTGCCCCAAAGGAGCAACTTAACAAAGAAAACTTATTTAAGCCTCATACTGAAAACCAAGTGAATCTCCTTGACTAAATTTAAAAGAATAATAATTTTTGATAGCACATGCTATTTAAAAATACATCAAACTTTTAACAAGGGATGATCCAATTTGCTTCGGAAATAAACAAACAGAACATGTAATTTTGGTATATTATTTGGTATGTGTACAAATACATACTTGTAATTACCTATCTTTTAATAACAAACAAATTGTCCACAAAATTAATAAACTTTTGAATAAGTCCAATTTCAACAAGTGTCTGGATGCAATGGACAATTAATCTGGATTAACCAGACTAGGTGTATTCTGAAATATAATACTCTTTTTCTTAAAAATAGAGTACAACTGCCCATTAAGGAAGATCAAAAGTCCTCTATACATATACAAGGAGTAAAATCAACACAAACGACAGAGTAAGATCCTTGAAAGAAGAGACCAATCAAGTTATAATTTACCATAAAAAGGAAGTCATCATTGTGTTTGCACTAAAACATTAGACAACACCCCTTAGCACAGGTCAATACAGTCAAGAACAGTCACATTATATAGTTTTTCATGTATATTTGATTCTAAAAAGAATTTCCAGAGTGGATGAGTATAGTATATACAAGCATTAGAATAAAGGCCTATTGGCTCATATGAAGCCACTCCTATTTATAGCCACCCAAAATCCTTATATATATATATATATATGTATATACTGTATATCTAAGCTATGCTCGAAACAATCCCATGTCTATGGGATTGAGATGTAAGTCTCGTCCTAACCACATACTAAGACCTTGACAAAGCACTCAGGAGTGCAAAAGACTTGGTATAATTCTTTACATAAATTTCACAAATACAAACCCATAAATGGGTTTTCACAAATACATAAGGAAGAGAATCATTCATCTTACAGTGAACAATCTTGTAAAATTCTTGCAATACTGTTTGTTAAAAATAGATAAATTTCTAGATTCCCATCAAACAGACTTTCAAGGAATGAAAGAGGAACTGCAACACACCTTCTGGAGGCAGCTGATAAGTGAACATGGCATGGAAGCATCATGGGAAAAATTTCAACGTCATCACTGAAGTCGTTCAAAAATGTGTGTGCCAAAAAGGAGAAAGAAAAAAAGGACTAGATGGATGACACAGGTAGTAAAATGAGCATTGCTAACTAAGAGGACTCTCTAGATTAGGTATAAATCCACGATTAACATCATTGATTATGAGATATATAAAAGCACACTAGACTCGGCCACCTAGGAAATCAGATTAGCCAAACAAAACTACAAAAGAAAATTTGCCCAAAACATAAAGAAGGATCCAAAATTGTTCTATGCCTATATAAGAATTAAACCAAAACAAAGGACTCAGTAGGACCCATAAAAGATGAGACTAATCAAGTTATAATGGACAATAAAAGAGTAGCAAATGCTCTGAATTAATATTTTACATTAATGTTCACAGTAGAGTAGAAAGGTTAGATGACATCACCCACACTAATGTTTGACAGAGGTGAAGAGAATGAAATAAGGGATATATATGTATATACCCAAAACATGCGACATAATCAGGAAGAGCATTGACAAATTATGACTAAAAAGCCCCAGGTGTGGATGGAATCCAATCTGAAGTCATAAGGAACTGACAGAAGAACTATGCCAACTGCTGAAACTACTTTTCACAAAATCCCTGGACCAAGAGAGTCCTCCTAGATTGGATATATGCTAATGTTACCCCTATTTATATAAAAAAAGAAGCAGAAAGTGCTCATCAGAAAACTACTGTCTGATCAGCTTGACATCACACACCTGCAAGGAAGTACAGTAATTATCAAAAGAAGGCACCAAGCCAGGGAGGCTATGTAGCACCATCAAATGTGCAGTATATTCAAAAAGACACTAAGTATCACTAAGGATGGCAATACGAGAACAAAAGCACATAAGGCAAACGATATCAAAGGTATGATTCACCAAGAATTCTATTAAGGGACATGTGACTGCGAGGGACAGTTAGGAAGCAAGACGCAAGCACGTCCTGGAAGTTAGGACATTCAACAAGGATATGCATGACCATAAGAGAGACAGTGCAGTTCGGACAACAAGGAGCAGGGTGGCACTCCATTAGGTGACCGTGAGTTAAACATGTATGGCTACTACATAACCTTGCCAGAGTCGTTTCCCACCGCCAGTTACTGTGGGAGGAGGAAGGCCATGGGGGAGACGCTACCCTTAAGAGCACGCAGTTTGTTGCAGTAACAGAAGATCAATGACACTGCCAATGAGCAAGGATGAAGGAATAAATACCTGGGTAGAAGTCGAAATAAGGAACACCTTTGTGGGAAATGGGACAAGTGCGGATAGCCTCCTTAGCGGCACCGTCCGCACGCTTATTTAAGGAAACACCAATATGGCTGGAAACCCAGCAACACTCGACTGCCTTAAATCTGCTGGAGATAAACAGCCAATGTTGAATTACGACTACCACAGGATGGACAAGCTTAAAGGACTCCAGAGTCATGAGGGCACTGTGAGAGTCAACTACAACATCAAAGGAAGATTGACAACAAGAAAGCAGTTGATAAAGAGCATACAAAATTGCATAAAATTCTGCTGTGAAGATGCTAGTCTCCAAGGGCAGGTGACACATACAGGTGTGATCAGGAAATACAAGAGTAGCCTACACCGTCAGCAGACTTAGACCCATTTGTGAAGATGGAAATGGAGCGGTAGTGTGAAGAAAAGTAAGGAAAAGGCATTTCAGAACTGTAGGAGGGGTAAAAGCTTTTGTTATGTGGGTCAAGATATTGCAAAACTTAGGAAAGGGGACCCTCCATGGGGGCAAGGATGCAACGACATTAGGAGAAATATTGGTAATACAAATAGAGGGAGAACCTTGCAAGTGAGACAATCGTACAGAAAGGGTAAGGTGGTGAAACAGAACAGGGCCCACAGGAGAGGTAGTCAAAGTATGACATAAATGAGAGTGAGGGTGTTGTAGGGGCCACGCAAGGTAGCGAAGACAGTAGCGATCACGGCGATTCTGTAGAGACAGGATGGAGACCACATCTTCAGAAGGACATAGCTGCTCTGGAGAAAGTTCAACACAAAACAACAAAAACCATTTCAGAGCTCAGTCAACTCTCACATCAGGAACAGTCAAGGGCCTCACAGGGCTAAGAACACTGCAAATCAGGCATGACAGGGTGGAATCTCACTGAACCTTTTAAAATACTGAACAATTTGTAGGAAGTTGAACCAGGCAATTTCTTCAGAAGGTCAGATGTAACACAAACAAGGAGTAACAATTTCAAGCTCAACAAGCCACAATGTTGGACTGGTAACAAGAGATACTTTTTTCACTCACAGGTTTATGTTCATCCAGGCAAATGGGGGGGGGGGAACCTTTGATAAGGTACAGGCTTCTTGTCATTATCGAGGCCACTAGTGTTAGTGGCCCCTCAGGTAAATTCAGGAAAACCCATGGAACTGCCTACTCGCCAAAGCTGTTTATTTTAAAATCCAGCTAGAAAAAACTCACCCGGACAAATAAGGGACCTTTGACAAGTCACCAGCTTCTTGTCCTTGTCGAGGCCACTAGTGAGTTAGTGGCCCTAAGGTAAATTACACTTGTCAATCCTTTGTCCATTCTGAAAGCCTCTATAGATCTTGTAGTGATATTGCCTTTTTCTGAATATATTTCCCACCCTTATTGTGTATTGTTCACAAGTTTGCAAATGTTACTGTTCAATCCTGTGTCTAAATTGTTAATAAATATACAGTATATGGTATGCAACACAAGCCCTTGGACAGGACAGAACCCTGGGGCACTCCAACAGTTTTCCAGTCCAGCTTAACTCCATGCTTTCTGCTAAATAATCATCTAATTTTTATCTTTTTAAGATACCATTACCCTCAACACATCCCCCTTATACTATTTACAGTACTTCAAACTTTTTTAAGGCGTACAGTATCAAAGGCCATGCTGAAGTGAAGATACACTTGCAATCCTTCGCACTATCAACTGCTTGAAATATACTGGGGAAAAAATAGAGTAAATTTGTAAACATGAGTGACCCTTAGTAAAACCATGTTGTGACTCCAATATTAATCTATATTTTTCCAGGTATAATCCAATGGCTCTTGTGATCATTGACTGCAATTGTTGATTTAAGTAACTATCCTACAATAGACGTTAAGCTAACTGGATGATAGTTTGATGCAAGTGATCCAACTCCTTTCTTAAAATGTGGCACCACATTTGCAATCCTTAATGACTTCAGTACTGTACTCAACCTTAATGATGTATTAAATAATAAACTAATAATATATCAAATATTCTAATGATTTATTAAATATTCAAATGATCTATCAAATATTCTAACGAGTTTATCAAATATTCTAATGATTTATTAAATATTCAAATAACTTATTATATATAAATGTTGGAGGTTTCAAGTCATGACAAGGCACTGAGGTGGTGATTAACTCGAGTTTCAGCCACCGGTTCAGCTCCCATTGCACGACACCAATACAGTAATCAAGCACACAATAGTTCCCACTTAAAAACCACAAGAAACAAATTAAGCATGACGGGTACAATTTTCCCACTAGGGATGCCTCCCCTAGTGGAATGCCTCTAATGAGAATATGGTTTAACCACACCATATGAAAGCCATCATTTGAAAAAAAAGAAACAAGATAACTGATAAGACCAATCAGTCTTAAACTAACCTTTATCAATCATTTTGGGAATTGAAGGCCCATACACCAGAGTTTACAACAATAAAATTACATTTTTTTTGTTCAGTCTTTAACCTTGAGCAACAAATGTCTTCACAGGTGAGTCAGTTGACCAAACCTTATGAAGTGAGAGGCAAAGGCTGAATAGTTATGTTAGGAACATTAAATGTTTCCATGATCCCGTTACCAAGCTGTCCTCTAGGTACAGCACTGTATTAAGATGCACCACAATACATACTGCATCATTACTCAAAAGTATTCAAAAGTACAACAATTGCTGAAAGGAAAGTATTTTATACAGAACAAAAATACACAGCATGTAAAGTTTGTAAACAATAAAACATTATTACAAAAAATTCCATTTTGAGAGATCATAATTATAACATCATCTACAAAAAAATGTTTAGGCCTCTGGTCTGGTACTGTAAGCAGTTGGAACAAAATTCACCAATCATTTTACATCCATGTTTACGATAATTGATGGAGTGATGCACAGGGGCAATTAGTGTGAAGAAACACTAAACAATCACATCACTGCACAAGATTTGAACCCCCAGGTCCTCCCACTTGTAAGGCCATGCAGAGGCGTCTGGCTAATTACCCAAAGCTTTCTAGAATTACGTAAGTAATGAAGAACTACGATATATTTACTCACTATAATGTTGATGCTGAATGTAGAACATGAAAAAACTTTTTTTTATTCCGAAATAATATAATTTTATAACAAAAATATTAGAAACTAAGTGGCAGGAGACGGCACAGGAAGTGAACGCTTCAAGCGACAATGTTCTAGCTTTGGGTAATTACATGTACTCAATTTCATTATAAAATTATATTATTTCAGAGTACAAATAAGTTTTTCATGTTCTACATTCAGCACCAACATTATAGTGAGTAAATATATCATATTTCTTCATTACTTGCATAATACTAGGAAGCTTTGGGTAATTAGATGGACCATTGTAGAGTACTGTAACCACAACACAACAATCTGCTTATTAACTGGTAGTAGACTATTGCAACAAGAATTAGTGTCTCCAAAATATGCAGAGGAAGTACAATACAAATCTCATAATTACTGCCTTTTAAAAGAATTCAATAATATACTCCGGGTAATACTCTTCTTTATCATATTTAACAAAGATAGTTGGAGCATGCTCATCATCTACAGTTGTGTCATAGAGTAAATTGGTGGAAATATTTGTTGGTGGACGGGTGAGGGTTGGTGATCCCCTAACCACAGAGCCAATGATAACGTCTGCCAATATCAATACGTAGTGACCACTCAGAGTTAGGGTAGAGTGATTACGGGCAACTGCAGCACTGAAAATAAGCAAGAAAAAAATAATAAATTTTTATATTTTCTGTGTTGTGTTTAAAATTTTATTTATTTATTTACAAGGAGGTACATTGGGTTTGTTAGAGTACATAACATTGGTGTTTTTACATTCTTGCAGTCACTAACATGCATAGTGTTTCAGGCAAGTCCTTAATTTAACACATCAGGCAAGATGAATAGGTACATTGTAGCAAAATTTGACTTCAACATATAACTACCATTTAATTGACAGAGGTGATTACACTGTTAAGGATGTATGTCTTAAGTAGTCCCCCGGCACTTAACCATCGTGCTGTGCTGCATTAAAATATGACACCCCTGTGGTGCTCTGAAAATAAATTTTTTCAAAAAATTTATTTTCTCTTCTTATTTGTTAAAATGCAGTCTCTGATCACGGGAACTAAAATAAAATATTGGATGTGACATACTTTAGCCAGGTTGGAACCGAGAAGTTGAACAAATATGGGCGCTGAGTGAAGAAGCTCTCAGGGTCACTTGATCCCGTCACCCCGTTGGGCGGCAGTTGCCGCAAATATAAATGTTCACAATTATTTTGATGTTTCTCATTCGTTTCGTTTGGTGAGGAGAGGACAGTGTTGTAGAGGCTTGGTGAGGAGAGGACAGTGAGTGTTGTAGAGGCTTGGTGAGGAGAGGACAGTGTTGTAGAGGCTTGGTGAGGAGAGGACAGTGTTGTAGGGGCTTGGTGAGGAGAGGACAGTGTTGTAGGGGCTTGGTGAGGAGAGGACAGTGAGTGTTGTAGGGGCTTGGAGTGTTGTAGAGGCTTGGTGAGGAGAGGACAGTGAGTGTTGTAGAGGCTTGGTGAGGAGAGGACAGTGTTGTAGAGGCTTGGTGAGGAGAGGACAGTGTTGTAGGGGCTTGGTGAGGAGAGGACAGTGTTGTAGGGGCTTGGTGAGGAGAGGACAGTGTTGTAGGGGCTTGGTGAGGAGAGGACAGTGAGTGTTGTAGAGGCTTGGTGAGGAGAGGACAGTGTTGTAGGGGCTTGGTGAGGAGAGGACAGTGAGTGTTGTAGAGGCTTGGTGAGGAGAGGACAGTGTTGTAGGGGCTTGGTGAGGAGAGGACAGTGTTGTAGAGGCTTGGTGAGGAGAGGACAGTGTTGTAGAGGCTTGGTGAGGAGAGGACAGTGTTGTAGAGGCTTGGTGAGGAGAGGACAGTGTTGTAGAGGCTTGGTGAGGAGAGGACAGTGTTGTAGAGGCTTGGTGAGGAGAGGACAGTGTTGTAGAGGCTTGGTGAGGAGAGGACAGTGTTGTAGAGGCTTGGTGAGGAGAGGACAGTGTTGTAGAGGCTTGGTGAGGAGAGGACAGTGTTGTAGAGGCTTGGTGAGGAGAGGACAGTGTTGTAGGGGCTTGGTGAGGAGAGGACAGTGTTGTAGAGGCTTGGTGAGGAGAGGACAGTGTTGTAGAGGCTTGGTGAGGAGAGGACAGTGTTGTAGGGGCTTGGTGAGGAGAGGACAGTGTTGTAGAGGCTTGGTGAGGAGAGGACAGTGTTGTAGGGGCTTGGAGTGTTGGAGAGGAAGATGTCAGCTAATGAATTTATATCTTCTGTATTAATGAATTTAGATTCCCAGTTTATATACTGTATTGAAGTACTGTACATTTAAGAGATTCCCTATTGTTGCTTTGCTGTGTAATCTGAAAGTAGGTTTCTTGGTATCCTAAGGTGTTATGTCCACGTTTGCTATAAGGAAAGCAGTATAGTGATCGGGTGTTCTGTCAGTGATTATACCAGAGGCAAGGGGGGCTGTTAGTCCATATGTGGTGCAAGGTGGTAGCAGATGCAGGCGATGAGTCACAATAACGTGGCTAAAGTATGTTGACCAGACCACACACTAGAAGGTGAAGGGATGATGACGTTTCGGTCCGTCCTGGACCATTCTAAAGTCGATTGAGAATGGTAGCAGATGTTTGAGTGACTTGTGTGGGCTTAGTGATCATGGGGGATTAGCATACAGGAGTTCATGCTGTTCAGGAAGTAGTCAACTTGTGGAGGGGGGGGGGGGGGGGGCTATTTTGTTATTTCCATACTTTTTTCATATAAGCAAATAGGGAAAATTGCAACATGTATCTCCTTTCATCATCATAGACAAGGATTTAATAATCTTCTTTCCGGGCTATATTTACCATAAAGAATGATGATAATGTCAAATAAATTATTTTTGAGGGGCATCCTGGGCTATGTCAATAATTTGACCTGGGGAGGGAGGGGGCGCCTCGATATAGGCCTAACGTGTGTAAATACATTCTGGCTTCCTGTCCCCCGACACAATTATTATATTGTTCTTACATTTTAGTGTGCAAGAAACAAATACATAAACAGTATGAAAAACTTGTACTTTACCTATTGGAGAAATATGTGCCTTTTCCAAAATTCTGCTGGATGGTAGATCCCTGGCGCCAGTCAATATTTTCTTTACAAATGGTGTCAATCTTGTCAGGGTCAGTCCCATGAAACAATCTCTGAATGTTCAACTGGTTGTCATCATACCTGCACAAGGGGACAATCTCATAATAAACATAAATTAAGGTACATGCAAATTTCAAAAGAATCTTCTCAAGAAAAGCTATTTTAATTCACTAAGGTAAATCAGAGGTGGAGAGCAAGTAACAAGGACAACTTAAGACATGAGGATGAACAAGGACAACATAAGGAATTAAGATGAACAAAGACAACATAGGGAATGAGGATGAACAAGGACAACATAATGCATGAGGATGAACAAAGACAACATAATACATGAGGAGGAACAAGTACAACATAATTTACCCGAGGACCACTAATAGCCTCGACAAGGACAAGAAGCCAGCGGCTTGAAAAAAGTCCGTTTGTTCTATGATTTGTTCCAGCAGGATTTTAAAATTTAACAGTTTTGGCATTTGTGGCTTTGGTGGGTGGGTGATTCCATGAGTTCCAACACTGTGGGCGTAAAATCATCTTCTGTTCTCAGTCCTACATTGTGGCTTGTTGAGCTTGAAACCAATGCCTTGTTTGTGTTATATCTGAACTTTAGAAGAAATTGTCTGGATCCACATCCTCCAAATTGTTTAGTATTTTAAAAGTTTCAATGAGATCTGCCCTGACATGCCTGGTTTGCAGTGTTGTTAGCCCCATGACCCCTCAACCGTTCCTCAGACAAGAGATGACTAAGCTCTGGTATGATTTTTGTTGCCCGGCGTTGCACCTTCTCCAGAGTAGCTATGTCTTTCTGAAGATGAGGTCTCCATGCCTGGCTGCAATAATCTAGGTGGGGGCAAACCAGAGACTTATACAATTGAACTATTACTTTCTTTTCCTTGAAGGTAAATGTACGCTTGATATGGTTCGCTTTTTTTTACTGCCGCTCCCACTTGTTGTGCAACATTTAGTGAATGATGGATTCTGACTACAAGGTCTTTTTCTTCATTTATCTGTTGTAAGGTAGTTTGTAAGCTGTCAATTTGGTAGTTATGATGTGGATTGTTATGCCCCACATGCAACGTGTTGCATTTATTGACATTCAGAAGCATTTGTTAGTCATCTGACTATTTGTGGAGTTCATGTAGTTCTCTTCGTAAGGTTTCAATATCACTTTCACTTACCACTTTATCATAGATCTTAGTGTCATCAGCAAATCTGATGATGTGGTTAGTAATATTCTCATCTGTGTCAGTGATGTATACGAGGAGAAGGACGGCTCGAGAATGGTCCAGGACGGACCGAAACGTTGTCGTCCCTTCACCTTCTAGTGTGTGGTCTGGTCAACGAGGAGAAGGGTTGGCCCCAAAATGGACCCCTGTGGCACCCCACTTAGCATATTTCCCCAGTCAGGTTCCTCCCAATTTAGCACAACCCTCTGTTTTCTGTTTTAACCATTGCTTTATCCATTCCAGTATTCTCCCATTTATTCCACGTGCCTGTAATTTCCTTGCCAGTCTCTCATGTGGTACCTTGTCAAAAGCTTTAGCAAAGTCCACATAAGCTACATCTACCGGGAGTTCTTTGTCTAAATAGCCGGTTACTGTTTCCGGAAATGTGAGCAGGTTAGTGAAGCAGGATCTATTTTTAACAAACGCATGTTGCGTTAATTTTAGAAGATTGTTCTCTGAGATGTTGTATGATTTTCTCTCTTAGGATTCTCTCCATGAACTTGCAGATGTGTGAAGTCAAGCTGATCGGATGGTAGTTTTCTGCCAAGCTCTTTCTGCCTATTTTTGAAAATAGGGGTAACATTTTTGCATATTTCCAATCCAGAGGAACTATCCCTTGGTCCAGGGATTTTTTAAAAAGGAGTTTCAGTGGTAGGCACAATGCATCTGTCAGTCCCTTTATGACTTTGGACTGAAATCCAGCCACACCTGGGGCTTTTTAGTTTGTCAATGCTCTTCCTGATGTTTAATGTAATGGGTATATCCCTTAATTCATTCTCTTCACTTCTTTCAAACATTTGTAATTACCTAAGTGTAATTACCTAAGTGTAGTTACAGGATGAGAGCTACGCTCGTGGTGTCCCGTCTTCCCAGCACTCTTTGTCATATAACGCTTTGAAACTACTGACGGTCTTGGCCTCCACCACCTTCTCACTTAACTTGTTCCAACCGTCTACCACTCTATTTGCGAAGGTGAATTTTCATATATTTCTTCGGCATCTGTGTTTAGCTAGTTTAAATCTATGACCTCTTGTTCTTGAAATTCCAGGTCTCAGGAAGTCTTCCCTGTCGATTTTATCAATTCCTGTAACTATTTTGTATGTAGTGATCATATCACCTCTTTTTCTTCTGTCTTCTAGTTTTGGCATATTTAATGCTTCTAACCTCTCCTCGTAGCTCTTGCCCTTCAGTTCTGGGAGCCACTTAGTAGCATGTCTTTGCACCTTTTCCAGTTTGTTGATGTGCTTCTTAAGATATGGGCACCACACAACAGCTGCATATTCTAGCTTTGGCCTAACAAAAGTCATGAACAATTTCTTTAGTATATCGCCATCCATGTATTTAAATGCAATTCTGAAGTTAGAAAGCATAGCATAGGCTCCTTGCACAATATTCTTTATGTGGTCCTCAGGTGATAGTTTTCTATCTAGAACCACTCCTAGATCTCTTTCTTTATCAGAATTCTTTAAAGATTTCTCACATAATATATAGGTTGTGTGGGGTCTATGTTCTCCTATTCCACATTCCATAACATGACATTTATTAACATTAAATTCCATTTGCCAAGTGGTGCTCCATATACTTATTTTGTCCAGGTCTTCTTGAAGGGCATGACAGTCATCTAAATTTCTTATCCTTCCTATTATCTTAGCATCATCAGCAAACATGTTCATATAATTCTGTATACCAACTGGTAGATCATTTATGTACACAATAAACATCACTGGTGCAAGAACTGAACCCTGTGGTACTCCACTTGTGACATTTCTCCATTCTGATACATTGCCTCTGATTACTGCCCTCATTTTTCTATCAGTCAGAAAATTTTTCATCCATGATAGAAGCTTACCTGTCACCCCTCCAATATTTTCCAGTTTCCAGAACAACCTCTTATGTGGAACTCTGTCGAAAGCCTTTTTTAGGTCCAGATAGATGCAGTCAACCCAACCATCTCTTTCCTGTAATATCTCTGTGGCTCGATCATAGAAACTGAGTAAATTCGATACACAGGATCTTCCAGATCGAAAACCATACTGTCTGTCTGATATTATATCATTTCTCTCTAGGTGTTCTACCCATTTAGTTTTGATTAGTTTTTCCAATACTTTCACTATTACACTTGTCAATGATACAGGTCTATAATTGAGGGGGTCTTCCCTGCTGCCACTTTTGTAGATTGGAACTATGTTAGCCTGTTTCCACCCGTCTGCTACGATTCCTGTACACAGGGATGCCTGAAAGATCAGGTGAAGTGGAATGCTGAGCTCAGATGCACATTCTCTCAGAACCCATGGTGAAACGCCATCTGGGCCAGCTGCTTTGTTCTTACCGAGCTCCTTGAGCATTTTTTCCACTTCGTCTCTAGACACCTCTATGTGTTCTATGTTGTTCTCTGGAATTCTTATTGTATCTGGTTCCCTAAAGATTTCATTTTGTACAAACACACTTTGGAACTTTTCGTTTAGTGTTTCACACATTTCCTTTTCATCTTCCGTGAATCTATTTCCCATTTTCAACCTCTGAATATTATCCTTTACCTGCAATTTGTTGTTTATGAATTTATAGAATAGACCTGGTTCTGTTTTACATTTGTCCGCAATCCCTTTTTCAAAATTTCTTTCTGCCTCTCTCCTCACTGCCGTGTAGTTGTTTCTCGCATCTTTGTATCGCTGGTATGTTTGGGGGTTCGGCCTCTTCCTGTATTGATTCCATTTTTGTGTCTTTCGGTCTCTAGCCCTCTCGCAATTTCTATTGAACCAATCCTGTTTCCTAGTTCTGCATCTCTGTTTTGGTATAAATTTTTTTGTGCCTTTATCATATATTTCACAAAACTTGCCATACATCTCATTCACTTCCTTGCCTAGCATCAAGTCTGTCCAATTATACTCACTAAAAAAATTTCTAAGGTCACCATAATGTCCTCTCCTGAAGTCTGGTTTTTCAACTGCTTCAACCTCCTTATTTTCTTCCAGCTTATAACGCATTGCATACTTTATTCCCAAAAAGACATGGTCACTTTTACCCAAGGGAGGAAGGTACTGAATGTCAAATATCTCTTCCTCCTTCCTGGTAAATATCAAATCTAGCATGGAGGGAACGTCCCCTTCCCTCATCCTCGTAGCTTGTTTAACATGTTGATACAAGAATGTTTCCAGGATGAGGTCTACAAATTTACAGGTCCAAAAATCTTCTGTTTTAGCTTCATATGCTTCCCAGTCTATGGATTTCAAGTTGAAGTCACCGACTATCAACAGTCGCGATCTATCGTTATCCGCTCTCGCTATAATCTCTCTCATTATTGTTATAAGACCTTCACGTTTACTATCTAGCTCCTCCTTTGACCATGTGCTGCTTGGCGGTGGACTATATGCATTTATCATCATTAGTTTATCATCCTCATAGCAGATCTCTAGTGCTATTATGTCAACTTCTTGTGGATTGGCAGTCATTATTTCCTTCACCTTTAGGTGTTCTTTTACCAGCACAGCAACGCCACCGCCTTTCCTAATTTTTCTGTCCCGTCTCCAAATTGAGTAGCCCCTTGGGAATATGACCTCATTTAAAATTACATCTTCAAGTTTTGTCTCCGTGAGTGCAACAATGTCTGGTGTCTGCAGCTGTATTACATCACTTAACTCCAGTATCTTCGATCTCACTCCATCTATGTTGGTGTATGCAATCTTCAGGAACTTGTTCCCCCTCTCCTTATTCTTCACTCCCCCTCTCTCTATTGATTTTGTTGGTTTGCCTTTATGTACCACTTTACTGGTTTGCCTACCCCTATCACTTTGTAGAAAAAAGAATTTATTTCTTCTTCATTCCTGCTCTCATTTAAATGTTTTGCCTCGGCGAGGTTCAGTTTCAGCTTCTCTCTATCTTCTTTTGAAAGATCTCGTCTTAACGACCACCCTTTCCCATCCTCATCCCTTTGCAATTTTCTAGCATTCCTTAGTACTTCTTCCATCTGTTTGGCACCGTTTAGGGTGATCCTCAAAGGTCGATCTTTCCCTTTTACGTACCTGCCTATTCTCCTGTAGTCGCACACATTCTCTCTGTTTGTAAGACCTTCCACGAGGCCAACAATTTTATCTACTACTTTAGCTTCTTCTACAGCTCTTTCTGACCTAGATGTTATCGCCTTTTCTTTGCAGCCAAAAATGATCAGGGACTTACTCCGATCAACTGTGTTTTGCACCAACTTCGGGTTAGATGCCAATTCTTTCCTCACTTCTAGCCTAATGTTTGTTTTATCTTGGTTGCTGCAGTGTTTGACTTCCTTTACTGCTTCTTCTATTTTTTCCTTCTCCTTGGCCACTTGTGCATAAGTGAGTTGCATATCTTTCTTGCACTGTTCTATTCCCTGTGTAACTTCCTCCATCTGTGCTGACAAAAGCTGTTTCTCCTGTTGAATTTCCTTGCCTAACCTATTGTAGTCATTTATGTTTAAATTTACTTTAACTTCTTCCAAAGCTATTTTTAAGAGTTTATTTTCTTCTTCCATGGCTTTGCAATTTGTTTCCAATTGATTCTTATCCTTGCGCAAGTCTTTCACTAAACCCTCAAGACATAAAACTTTGCTATTCAAATGGTCATTACTTTCTTTCAATTTACTAATTATTTCTACATGAGAGTTCACTATAGTATCTAAATTTACCAACTTGTTATGTAGACTACTAATATCAATGCTTTCTTCATTGAATCCCTCAAAATCAAGCTCTGTTTTGTTTTTCCCCTTGCAGGCGGCCATCTTGAATGTTCTTCTCTGCACTGTAAACACTAGGGCAACTTTTTCTCATCCGATTTTTCACTTCCCTTAGCACTTTCCTGTTATCTCACCTATTTTTCAGGAGCACTATACCTTTATGTTCTCTGGGACACCACTCACTACCATCAACCTGTACTACAATACTTAGGATTGTTGAAATATGCTGGAGCTCCTCTGCTGCAAGTGTTGACCCTAGGGGTGTCACCTTTTTTCAGTATATTAATGTATTTGTATTCACCTAGTTGTGTTTGCGGGGGTTGAACTTTGCTCTTTCGGCCCGCCTCTCAACTGTTTACTAACTACTATTTTTTTCCCCACCACACACACCCCAGGAAGCAGCCCGTGACAGTTGATTAACTCCTAGGTACCTATTTACTGCTAGGTAACAGGGGCACTCAGGGTGAAAGAAACTTTGCCCATTTGTTTCTGCCTGGTGCGGGAATCAATCCCGCGCTACAGAATTACGAGTATTGCGCGCTATCCACCAGGCTACCAGGCCCCAAGTGTTGTGTGGGTGATGGGATGTTGTTCAATCTTTCTAGTGCGAACACTGATGTAAAGTATTCAGTATTTGCTGCCTTTTTATCATCCAATATAACTTGGTTAGTCTCATCTTTTAGGGGGTCCTACAGTCCTCTTTTTGGTTTCACTTCATATATATGTATAGAATGATTTTGGATCTTCTTTTATGGTTTGGGCAAGTTTTCTTTTGTAGTTTCTTTTGGCTTATCTGATTTCCTGGTAGCCGAGTTTAATGCCCTTTTATTTATCTCATAATCCATGACGTTCATCATGGATTTATACCATCTCCAGAGGTTCCGTTTAGTTAATGCTCTATTACTACTTATGTCATCCATCTTGTTAGCTTTCTTTTCTTTCAAGTTTTTGGCGCATATCTTTGAACAAGTTCAGTAATGACCTTTTTGACATTTTTTCATGATGTTTCCATGCCCTGATCACCTATCAGCTCCCTCCAGGAGGTGTTTTGCAATTGCTCTCTCAATCCCTGATAGTTTTCTCGATGGTAATCTATGTCATCATCCTGTACCTCTACGAGAGTTTCTGTAATTGTATTCCATCTTAGAATATTGTGATCACACGATGGGGTGAACTTTTCCCCTACTTGAATATGATCGATCATGCACAAGGTCCAGAACGTTGTTACCACAAGTGGCCTCTACAACATGTTGTATGAGACATGAGTCCTGCACCAGGTCTAGAAATTGATCTCCTTCAGCTTGTGATGTTAGATTTACCCAATCTATTGTCTCATGGTTAAAATCACCCACTATAAGAGTTTGCGTTTGTGATGCAGCATTGATCACATTATGCAGATCAGTAACTTCCTCTGGTGTTGTTGTGTCAGCCCTGTAGCATACTCCCACTGTCAGTATGTTACCATCTTGAGCTACTAGTATATTGCACCATACAGACTGAGGATCCCATGGTGTTCAGTTTCTCATTGGTGGTTGCAAACATGTCCTCTTTTTACATAAAGCATTTTATGTACAGAACAAATTTGATAAAAGATAAAACGGCATATAAAACATTACTTATATAATTTTATATGATATACTGGTTGTTAGAAATCAATAATAATTCCGGTGCAAAATTTACAGCCATTCATATGTTGGATACTGCATACAATGTTCTTGGCAGGGAAGGACATTTAGCATTATAAAAATCCACATTGTGTCTGATGAGTTTTAAAATGCATTTTTAAGTTGTCTGATGTTAATATAATTAGTTTAAGCAAAAATTAAATTGGATTATGAAAACATAGGGTTTTTAACATAGATGGTGGAAGACTACTGACATAAAAATAAGTTTCAACTAACAGGACAACACTTTTTTACTTTACATTACATTATACAGTATAGGGGGAAAACTCATAAAATAATTACCTGCTTGATAAGGATGCCTTTTTGTACTGCAGAAGGCGCCATAGATATGGATTTTGCAATCTTTCAATTTTTTGTACATTAGCATTGGGAAGCGTGAGGCGCAAACGACTTGCAACCTCCTGGTATTCCTTATTACCAGGGTCCAAAGGAACAAGGACATGAGTCTGATTCCCACCCATCACAAGCCAATTATTAGGAACAGAAGTCTGGTCTGAGCTAGAGGACTTTTTCTGATAGGAGAGTCGTGATGGGCGTCTGCGGATTTCCCTCACCTTACTTGTTTTGAGGTTAGTCTGGGTCATTTGGGCAAAATTCAAGCAATACTTGTATTGAGAATTACTGATTACCATTGACGAGGAAGGATCTGACAAATATTGCTTTTCAATGTCCTCACAGGTGACGTTGCAGACAAGTTCCTGATTACCCAGACTATCAGCCTGACCATAAGAGATCCATTTGCCTTGCTCATCAATAAAGTACCATTCATACACAGTAGATTTTGGATTGTCAAAGTCTCCTGCAGAACGAGTTGAGATGCGTCGAATTTTAAGCTGAGCTGATCCTGAAGAATCATTCATGGTCATGTCCTTAAAATTAGCTGTCCATAACTCAGTCCCCAAAATATTGAGGAGTTCTTTAGCATTAGATTCCAGCTTGCTTGGGTCAAGGGAAGGTATCTGGATACTCCCTTTGGAGACATCTCTGTAAGCATTTTCAAGTGCCTTGGATTGAAATATGCGAAAATTATACCATTTATCATTTCTTTCAAACTGCCAATGAAACAAACTTTTTGCGTGTAGATATTTGCAACCCTTCTTGGCATTGATACACTTATCATTAACAGCAAAAAGACATATCTCAGGTACTTGAACATCACCACAAACATCAGAAGAATAGTAGGTGGTTCTCTTTTTCCGTTTACTCTTACTGCTGTCATCTCCCACTACTTTTTTATTCTTTACCTGACTTCTATCATGAGAATGCTGAGAATGAGCGTCACTGTCTGAAGAGGAGGAGTCCTCACTATCGTCACCTTTACTGCTATCGTTGGCCTTTTTACCTTTTTTCTTTTTTCCTCCACTTTTGTCCTTCCCAGATGTCTTACCTGACACAGCCTGGTCACTGTCTCCATTATTTTCTTTATCTTCACTTTTATTAACACTGCTCTTTTTTCCCTTGTGTTTTCCTCCAGTTTTTGTCTTCCTTGGAGACACAGGAGACTGTTCATCATCCTGACTGTCATCCATTGGCTTGCTTCTTCCATCTGACTTTTTATCTTTCTTTTTGGTTCCACTTTTTGTCTTCTCTGGTGCAGTTGAAGACTGATCACTATCTTTGTCTTTACTTTTCTTCTCAACACATTTTTTATCCTTCTCTACTTTTCCTTCAATCTTTGTACCGGATGATCCAGTAGAAGACTGGTCTTCCTGACGCTGAATTTGAGACATTAGGTTTATCAAAATATCACGTGGACTCTCGTTTATGGAAATACCAAATCTCTTCAGCAGCTTTTTACAGTGATCAGTAAGGATATCATGGTTAAGGGAGCAATCTGATATTGAACATTTTCCACAATTCATCACATAATCTTTACAGATATGGATGAAACCACATTTCTCATTCTTCTTGCATCCATTTTTGCTATTATAAAAGGCACAAATTATAGAAGCATTTCCTTTACAGACCTTCCTCATCACTTGATGTAAGACACGTTTATCAATCAAGTCTAAGTATAACTTTGAGAGTATGGGAGTATTGTGATTAGTATCCCATCGATGCCCGTACTGGCATGATGCACCAGCATCACAAAATGCTGTTACAAAGGTTTTACACATATGAAGATCTTTGCATGAATCACGAGACAAGCAGCCATTTTCAGACAAGTGTTGTGAGCATAAGACTAATTTGGGAACAAGTTCAATCACTAGCCCCCTGTCCTTTTCCACAAAGGAAAATAAATCCTTACGAGACTTCACCACCATTGCAATTTCCTGCTCACTCTTTTGAACCTGACGACTCAGTGTATCAGATGTGCTCCACTGCCCGTCAAACATAACAATGGCTTTCACCAAGGCTTCAGGAGTTAGTCCTGTAGTATTACGGTTTTTAGATTTACTAGAATGATTTTGTCTATTTGCTTCCTCATATGAGGGAGGTGGTTGATTATATCCTCCACTGCCAGAGTAAGGTACATACTGTGGAGGATTTATCTGCCCTTGATAGTCAGAAGGGCTTTGATGTGATGGATAGTAGTTAGGTGGTGGACCCTGAGGCATCATACCATGATGTAACCCAAAGCCAAACTGACTACCATCTTGATAAGGTGGAGCACGGCCCAAAAGGCCAGCATTCTGTCTGTGCCCGGGATGTTGTGGAGCATTCTGTCTGTGCCCGGGATGTTGTGGTGAATTCCCTCGCCTTCCCCGCCCTCTAAATTCCTTAGACTGCTTATTACTCTCATCAGAGCTTAAGTTCATCATGGACTTGCTACCTCTGTTGCCCTGAAAAAAAAAATAAGAACAGCATTGAATGTAATGAAAAGCCATTTTCTGGGCGAGACCCGGAGGCTCCCTAGAGCTATCCAGGCTGATATGAATGTATTAGACCCTGGCATCAGTCAAAGCGAATGGAGTTCTTAGGCCTACCAGGGACCAGGAGCCTGAACCTGGCCCCCTCAGAGCAGCACGAGGAGCAATGGCCTATAGAAACCCCCCATGTGGTTGGAAGAATTCTATGTCTGCCATCGACCTGGTCAGGCATCCAGAAAAGTAAGCACCCCAAAACAAACCCTATCTGGTGAAAATATTGCTACTGAAAGCCAAACTGTTGAACAGAACTCCCCAAACGAAAAACGAGCAAACGAGCATAACGTCACCACTGTCACCACGCCACTGTCTGCACATCTCCCCCTCCCCGGGAGGGGGAAAGGGGGAACCCCAGACCCCCCACGCCGCCTATCCACACCCCCCAGGTTCTGAGGCTGGATGTCAAAACTTGCGAAAACTGCAAACTGGAGGGAGGGTTGCCGGGGAGCCTCCAGGTCTCACCCAGAAAATGGCATTTCCTTACATTCACCGCTGGGTTTTTTTTTTTTGGGGGGGGGGGCCAAGGCTGGGCCAACAGGACTACTATTCCCTAGTAAGTCTCCAAACAAGCCAGAACCCAGAGCAACAACCGAACTGGGGAAAAGCGGTACAGGTAACCCCACCTAGACCATTCCAGTCGAAACACATCGACCCCGACGGCCTTGCCATCGGGGAAGGGCACATATATCTGACGATGCCTCGACCAGGCCGACACGAAGAGGTCCACTTCTGGGCGCCCAAACGTCTGGCAGAGCCAACGGAATGAGTCAGCATCGATCGTCCATTCCGTGGCCAGGGGAATGAAACGGGACAGGCCATCCACAAGGAGATTGTACACTCCCTGGATATGAACCGCCAGGAAAGTCAAACCCCGAGAACTCAGCAGATGAATCACCCTACTAGCCTCAAAAGAGGCACGAACTGCATCGAGCCCCCGCAGTTCAGACAATGAACCACCGGGGAACAGTTCGAATGGAGCCGAATCATCGATTCGTGAGCGCTGTGAATCCTCAGAAGCGACTGCCACACAGCTGCGAACTCCCACACCGTGCTGTGAGCCCAATGGAAGGAGGAACCCCACCAACCCTGGCCAGCCTGGCGAGCACTGGTCACAAAGCCCCAGCCGAGAGACGACGCATCCGTGAACACATCGAGTGAGGGCTCGGGTAGGTGCCACAGCACCGAACCCCGAAAAACCCGAAGAGGAAGCAGGCAACACAGCAGCCGATGGAAGGCATCAGGGACCCGAACCCAGCGTCTGCGTGAGTGGACGCATCACAAGAGTCAGGTACACTGTAGTAACCATGACCAACATCACAAGAGCCAGGTACACTGTAGTAACCATGACCAACATCACAAGAGTCAGGCACACTGTAGTAACCATGACCAACATCACAAGAGTCAGGTACACTGTAGTAACCATGACCAACATCACAAGAGTCAGGTACACTGTAGTAACCATGACCAACATCACAAGAGCCAGGTACACTGTAGTAACCATGACCAACATCACAAGAACCAGGTACAGTGGAACCTCGACTTACAAATGCCCCTACTTACAAATTTTTGAAGTTACAACTCCAATTACGTTGGAAAATTCAACTCGACTTACGACCTTTGCCTCGACTTGCGACTTTGTTAATACACGCGTGAGTCGACAAAGCGTGTGGTTCCTGGTGGCACGGGCGACTCAACTTCAGTTTACTCGAGCCGCCCTCTTAGTGAGAATCACGCTTCAATTCTTTGTAAAGAATTTTATTGTTTTTGTGTCTTTTTGTTTTTTGAACATAAAATTATTATATATCATGCTATGCATCCCAAGAATGTCAGTGGTAAGGTTCAACCTAAGAAAACACATGTGAGGATGACCATAGAGGAAAGACAAGAGATCATTCGTAAACATGAAGATGGTGTGCGGGTTGTTGATCTAGGTAGGCAGTACAACAAATATATGTCAACGATATCCACCGTACTTGCTGAGAAAAAGGACATTATGAGTGCTAAAGTGGCAAAAGACGTATCAATAATGACGAAACAGAACACAAACCCCTGAGGATGTTGAACAGTTATTTATTTGGATACACAACAAGGCATCAGCGGGTGATAGCATTTTATTTGTGAAAAAGCAAGGTTATTGCATGAAGATCTTATAAAGAAAACCCCTGGAACGAGTGTTAAAGATACGGAAGAGTTTAAGGTGAGCAGGGGATAGTCTGAGAAATTTAGAAAAAGAAGTGGCATTCATAGTGTTGTGAGTGTTGTGGGTTGTGAGTTGGTGGAGGAACACGGTGAAGAACTGACCACCGAAGAACTCCTAGCCTTTCACAAGGAGCTGCAATAAGAGACAGCTGAGGAAATTTCTTCAGGGAAGGAGGCAGTACAGAATATTCCTTCCTCAACACTTAAGAAGTGATGTGCAGCATGGGAAGTAATGCAAAGTTTTATTGAAACGACTCACCCAAATCAAGCTGCAGTAGGCCATTGCCTTAACCTTTTTAATGACACTGTGATGCCTCACTACAGACAAGTGTTCAGACATAGGGAAAAACAAGTCTCTATGGAAAGGTTCTTAGTGAGAAAAACCAGCAGTGAGCCACAACCAGGTCCTAGTAGTATACAGGCAAAACAGAGAAAATAACCCAGAGAAGTCATCACTGACTAATGTTATAATAAAGAGGACTCCCCTTCCAAACAGTAACACCTCTCCTCCTTCCCCCTTCCCACCGTCTTCCATACGCCAACAAGAGTCATCAATAAAAATAAGCTAAAACTTCTACATACTACAGTACAAAATATATGTGTGTATTATGTATGAAATGCATTTTGAAGTTAATACTTTTGGGAGTGTGAAACGGATTAATTCAATTTGCATTATTTCTAATGGGAAAATTTGTTTTGAGTTACGACCCTTCTCTGGGAACGGATTAAATTCATAAATGAAGGGACCACTGTACACTGTAGTAACCATGACCAACACCACAAGAGCCAGGTATACTTTAGTAAACATGACTTATAATTCAGCAGGAATAGAAACAAACGTGCGCTCCACACAATGTTTATTACAACAACAACAACAACAAACAGCGACATCATCAGGTATAGGTGCCATGAATACAAATTTGCATCGAATCTTAACAAAACGGACCTAATCTTAAGTGACCTTAATCCTACACGTATCTTAATCCTAACAATAACCAGCATCACTTGAGTGCCAGGTACACTGTAGTAAACATCAACATCACAAGAGAGCCAGGTACTGTAGTAAACATCAACATCACAAGAGAGCCAGGTACTGTAGTAAACATCAACATCACAAGAGAGCCAGATACTGTAGTAAACATCAACATCACAAGAGAGCCAGATACTGTAGTAAACATCAACATCACAAGAGAGCCAGGTACTGTAGTAAACATCACAAGAGAGCCGGGTACTGTAGTAAACATCACAAGAGAGCCAGGTACTGTAGTAAACATCACAAGAGAGCCAGATAATGTAGTAAACATCAACATCACAAGAGAGCCAGGTACTGTAGTAAACATCACAAGAGAGCCAGATACTGTAGTAAACATCACAAGAGAGCCGGGTACTGTAGTAAACATCACAAGAGAGCCAGGTACTGTAGTAAACATCACAAGAGAGCCAGGTACTGTAGTAAACATCACAAGAGAGCCAGTACTGTAGTAAACATCACAAGAGAGCCAGGTACTGTAGTAAACATCACAAGAGAGCCAGGTACTGTAGTAAACATCAACATCACAAGAGAGCCAGGTACTGTAGTAAACATCACAAGAGAGCCAGATACTGTAGTAAACATCAACATCACAAGAGAGCCAGGTACTGTAGTAAACATCAACATCACAAGAGAGCCAGGTACTGTAGTAACATCAACATCAAAAGAGAGCCAGGTACTCTAAACATCAGCTGTATTGAAAGGAGAGCCAGGTAAACTGTAGTAAACATCACCTGCATTGCAAGAGAACTAGGTACACTAGTAAACATTGCCTACATTGCAAGAGAACTAGGTACACTAGTAAACATTGCCTACATTGCAAGAGAACTAGGTACACTAGTAAACATTACCTACATTGCAAGAGAACTAGGTACACTAGTAAACATCACCTGCATTGCAAGAGAACTAGGTACACTAGTAAACATTACCTACATTGCAAGAGAACTAAGTACACTAGTAAACATTACCTACATTGCAAGAGAACTAGGTACACTAGTAAACATTGCCTACATTGCAAGAGAACTAGGTACACTAGTAAACATTGCCTACATTGCAAGAGAACTAAGTACACTAGTAAACATTGCCTACATTGCAAGAGAACTAGGTACACTAGTAAACATTGCCTACATTGCAAGAGAACTAGGTACACTAGTAAACATTGCCTACATTGCAAGAGAACTAGGTACACTAGTAAACATTGCCTACATTGCAAGAGAACTAGGTACACTAGTAAACATTGCCTACATTGCAAGAGAACTAGCACCAATATATTATTAGTATACATGGAGAAACAAGTGAGATGGTAATAACTTCAAAATGCTGTATCAATTAATAATTAAGTTTTTATCAGGATTTACTTTAGCTTACTTTGTTCTTCTTGCTAGCAGATCTTTCAGGGGATGTTGAAGATGCTGATTTCTCTGATGCAACTGCAAAAGCAAAAATTAAGACAGTACTATATAATGTAGATTTAGCAGTGGGGAAAAACTGTGTAATTAGCCAAACTCATGTTAAGTCTCTAATCCTTCCACTGCGCATACCATCCTCAGATGTTCTACCCATGGTGTGCATACCAACCTCGGATGTTCTAAGGTACATACCACACAACATGTGAAACTTTTGTGGGTGCACGAGGATTGTTGGAGCTTTTTTTCCCTGCTTATGACATCCATCTAATTCTATTTCATTCTCTCTCCTTGGTACATACAGTACTGTATTTGTTAAGTTCAGTGATGACCATTGACAAAATTTCCCAAGGTGCTTCCATATGTGTAGGTTGGATTATTTACAATAAATAACTTCAGACTGCACAGTGAAGCCTCCATAACCAATGTTACTGAAGCAGTCAACAACTATATAAAAAAAAAAATTCTGATGAGGCTGACTAACAAACTCCCCCTCAACAATGACAAAGACATACCAGGAAGCATACCACACACAGCAAGATATACCAGGCATAGATCGGAGAGTAAACACTATCCAAATTGAGAGAACAGCTGAAAGGAAATTCTTAGGAATACAGTTACACAACAAATGAACTTTAAATAACATATTAAAAATAAAGCATAACAGTTTTTGAAAATGAAGGCATACTTTTTTATCTATTTATATATACTGTATATAAGTGAATGAATTATACATCACTCTGCCCTGATAACACTATTACTTTTATTTCTTTATATACAAGAAGTATATTGGGTTTGTGAGAATACATAACACTGGTGTTCTTACATTCTTGCAAACCCATTAACAACCGTAGCATTTCAGGCAGGTCCTTATTCTAACAGAAAAGGCAAAATTAATAATAGGTACATTGTAGGCAAATTTGACTTCAACATAATACCTACAGTTCAATATAAATTGACAGAAATGATTACACTAGTGAAGTTGCAGGTCTGAATCACTAATATTGCAGGAGTGAGCAGCACAAGATATAGTGCGAGTTTAATTCATAATTTAATTACCTGTGTTGGGGGACAGGCAGCCAGAGTGTATTTATACATGTTAGGCTTATATTGAAGTCCCCCCCCCCCCCCAGGATACAACCACACAACAAGCTGACTAACTCCCGGGTACCTACTTACTGCTAGGTGAACAGAGTATTAGATGATAAGAAATGTCCTCATCCATTTTTGTCCCGCCCGGGATTCGAATCCGGAATTCTCGAGTGCGAGTTGAGAACAAACCCGACTGTACTACCGGCACTCTTAAACCGAGTCCCAGTAGTACAGTCAAACTGGGTCAAATAGTTTAGTTTGAACTGAACTGAACTAACTTATCTATCCATATTTCACCTACAGAATCTTTGCCAGGGGATCTATGACTCAACAGAATATACAATATGCAGTTGGCTGTCTTTCCATTATATATAATAAAACAGAAGTCTAACATACACATGTTAACCTTGAGACAAAAGCAGTCATATACTTACTCTTCTGCAGCATTTTCTGCATGTCCTGAGCTGCACGTTCCAAATTTCTAGCTCGTTCCTCAAATCTTATGACATCAGGATCGATGCTTTTTCCCTTTTTGCCACCTTGCTCGCCCATTTTGTTAGCTGCAGTAAGACACTATTTATCACTTTAACTGTAAAATATTATCACTGTGAAGTCAAGTACTGTATGTAAAATTAGGTCAATCACATTTCTTTTTAAAACATAAGAAGAGGAGTAGTGGCACCTCACTCAAATCAAACTTGGTTCAACACTAGTCCAAACTCAACACAAGAAATGTGATCATATTATATCTCAATTGCTCTGATTAGTTCCAGAATAAATAAAAAATACAGAAAATCATGATTTGTTGTTCCTGTCATTAATAAAAATATAATAAAACTATTTTGTTACGTTAAAACCAGCGTTGAATGTAATGAAACACTATTTTCTGGAGGAGCTGGGAGGCTTCCTTAAGCTATCCAAAAGGGACATGTGCCATATTAGTTTGGTGTCATCAGTCCCAGGACTTTTGTATGCCTACCGGGGACCCCGAACCAGAACCTGGTCCCCTCAGAGGCACAGGAAACAATGGCCATTATGTGCACCCTACATTGTCATGTCTGCCATTCACTGGGAAGGGTACCCAGAAAGTAAGGCGAAACAATACAAACCCCCAACTGGTAAAAATTGCAACCTCTGTCCGAACAGAGCCAAAGAACTCCCCCCCCCCCAAAGAAAACAAACAAGAAAATTGTCATCCAACTAGCACGCCCGTTTGAAAGTGTCCCCCCCCCCCTCCCCTAAAAGGAGGAGGGGAGGGGCAGCCCCTCAATTCATAGAACGATGAAAACCGCCAAGGGAGGGTATCATGAAGCTTCCAGAGCTCGCCCAGAAAATGGCATTTCATTACAGTACTTTCAATGCTAGATTTATGTGGGGAGCCCCATCGGCTCCTTGAAGCTAACTACCTACAGATAAATAAAATAGGGACTTACCTGGGATGGCAGCAGCACCGCAAGTCTCAAGAAGATGAGACAACAGGCCACAACAGATGTCTGAAAGCAACACAAGGCCAGAGAGAGCCCGGAACGTTGACAAGATACCTGTTGGCCAGGACCCTATTCGACCTCCTAAACCCCCACCCCCGAATGTCAACCCAAGACATATTACCAACCACAGCAGCAAGAGTAGCATATTTCCTCACATCATGGGAACGATGGTAGACCGCAGGCTGGCTAGACTCGATGCCTCTGCGGACAACCTAAGAAACACGAGCCCTAGAACAGGAATCCAGGAAAAACGAGATCCACAAAGAGGGAGTCCTCTGTCACCAATCCAGTGGCCCACAGGTAGCGAAGTAAAGCTGCCAGTGGACGCAACATATGATGCACTTCCGGCCTAACCAACCAAGCATTCACCACCAACGAACCCCTCCAGAAGCCAGCCATCTCATTTTTTGCCAAAAAAGAAGATGACTGCAAATGAACAAAACAACCACCAGGACCAAAGTAGCAGAAACCTCTGTGCTGGAGATGAGCATGAAGCTCCCCAACCCAACCCCCCCCAGAGGCGAAAGCCAACAGAAACAAGGCCTTCATTAAACAATCACAGACCGAAGGGGCCACCACAAACCAAGAGCACCCGGTCCAAGAAGGCTCAGGTGGTGCATGAGCAGGCCAGAAGTGAAAAACGCATCAGAAAGCTTGCAGAACGGAGCAAAAGTGACATCCACCCCGAATGCAAGCTTCAGTGGCTCCGCAAACCCGCCGCATGATGAGTGGCGACAGTATTCAGCTTGAGATGCCGGCCAAGAAAAAGGCAAGAAAGAAAAGGCAAAATAACCCTAACTGATGGTTAGGGTTATTTTGAGAATCGCACACGAGGCCCAGCCAAGTATGAACCTGGGGTGGAACCAGATGGGACTTCCGCCAATTCACCAGGAACCTGAACCCGGCAAGCTGGGAAAGAACCACATCCCTGGCTAGCAGACACACAGACTGGCTGGGAGCCCACACCAACCAGTCGTCGAGGTAAGCCAGAACCCAAACATTTAGGAGATGAAGACGGGCCACAACGACCCTGGTTTAACACGTGAAAACGTGAGGTACCAGATTCAGAACTAATGGAAGGCAACGAAAGCAGTAAGCCTGTCGTCCGACCACAAAACCTAACCAATCTCTGAACCCCAGATGAATAGGAACGTGCCAATAAGCATCCTTGAGGTCCAGAGAAATCATCCAAGTGCCCAGCTCGAGAAGAAATCAGACCTGGGACAATGTGGTCATCCAAAAGGAGAGGCAAGGAATCAAACGGTTCAGACAGGACAAGTTCAGAATGAACTGAAGATCCACTCGGTCCCATTTCGGAACCAGGAACAAGCAGGAAACCCACTTTTGGGACGAAGTCGTTTCAACCATGCCCAAGCGAACCCACTCCAAGATGACCCAACAGAGAGACAGGAAAGAAGCCTGTCCTACCAACCCCGAACCACCAAAGGCCGGCAGAGATGACCCAAAAAGCCCACGATTCATGGAACCAAGCACGGTCAAACAGAGCCAGCCTTACCCCCATCGCGTCAACAGACTCGAGAAAGAGCCGACACGACCTCAGAGAAGCTGACTTCCGCACAGAGCAACCACCGTGCTGATCAGACGAAGAATGCCCCAGAAGGCACACAGGCTCCGAAACTGGCACCAAAAGCCCACCTCAAACCACCGAAACCCAAGAGAACCTGAACTCTCAGAAGAGTTTCTGAGAGTTTCAGAAACGGTCCTCTCAGGGTGGTCGTGCCAGCACGACCACCCTGAGAGGACCGAGAACCCCTGTCCCGTGTCGACACGCGAGACAAGAGGTAAAAAATATAAAAACTGCCTCCCGGAGAATCAGCGCAAACAGCATCAGCAGGGGAGCCGAAACTTGAACCCCGGCTTAAGGCCCCTGTCCCCCCAATGCCTCAACATCCGATCTGAGGACAGCTGCAGAATAAAAAGTGCAAGACCAAAGCCAAATGACTGCAAGTTTAATAGTCATTTGCCACCAAGACAGCCAAAAGAGAGGGAACCTGAGCATATAACTGCAGGAAGAGTTCGCCAGCCAGGAAGACTCCCGAAACCTCGTACCACACCCAATACGGGGAAGAAAAACCAAACTCAAATGAAGATGGATCCATTTTAGAGGAGTAAACCGGGTCTCAAAGGAGGTAAGCACTAAGAGCCTCCCGAACCTCTGCTGGGGAAATCCGAGAAGGAAACCTTTAGAAGGACCAAGGGCACTTGGAAACGAACCCAAGGGAGAGCCGCACCCAACTCAAATTCATACAGGGACTGTGGATATGAAAACCCACGACCCTGCAACAATAAATCCTGCCCAGAAGGCACAAGGGCCCAGGCAGGATCAAAAGGAGCCCAAGCACTCCAAATGGACCCCCCACGAAACCCCAACACCGGGGTAGAACCCTCATCCATGCCCACCACCCTTGAAGAAAAGGCGGAGTCCTGGGAAAAAGCTTTTTTTTTTGAGATATATACAAGAGTTGTTACATTCTTGTACAGCCACTAGTACGCGTAGCGTTTCGGGCAGGTCCCTGGAATACGATCCCTTGCTGCGAAGAATCGTTTTTTCATCCAAGTACACATTTTACTGTTGTGTTAAACAGAGGCTACAGTTAAGGAATTGCGCCCAGTAAATCCTCCCCGGCCAGGATACGAACCCATGACATAGCGCTCGCGGAACGCCAGGCGAGTGTCTTACCACTACACCACGGAGACTGGTAAAAGAAGGTCAAACTGGTAAAAAACTGGTCAAAGAAGGGAGCCTGCTGGGCCGACTCGAACGCCTCGGCGGGAAAATCGGGCTCAACAACCTCCATCCCCAAATTGGAAAGGTCAATCCCCGAAGCCACCCAAGCCTCATCCCAAACGAAACCCCGCCCTGACAACGAAACCCTCAGACGTTTGGGAGCTGGAAGCAGGGGAAAAGGAGCAGGGTGAACCACACCCACCTGGGAAGGAAGCAAGGGCGCAGGCTGAACCACGGTTGAATTAACCAACGCCCCTATAATCCTAGTTCTTAAAACCCAAGCAGGGCAGCTCCGGGGCTCCCAATCGAGAAACCAACCTGGCTCGTTGGAACAAAGAAAACCTAGCATGCAATGCAGCCGCTGCCTGACCCTAACATCCTCAGACAAGGAATGGGTAAACTAAATGACAAGTGGGAAACAAATCCCACAAGACTCAGGGTTTTAGGTGGCACCAACCCAACATGCAGCATGACAGAGGCAGGACGGGTGATTGTCACTGCGAAGCAGGGGCAACGAACAACCTTCAGCATCGCACAAGGCGAGACAGGGCCGGAAGATGCATCCATGGTAACCCTAAGCCCAATGGGGTTTTACAGGGCCCGTAGAGTAAGTTAGCTCTACAGGAAGCCCAGGCACTGGGACTAGCTAAGCCGGTAACCCTGTCTGTTAGCAGGCAAACTGACCAGTAGTCGCTGTGAAACCTCGGGGCAACAGAGAAGGACTACCAACACAACCTAGGCAGGCCTAATGGGAAGCTAGGCTCCGGCAACCACAATATACTTAAAAAAAAAAAAGCAACCCACACAAACAAACTGGTTGCCCGAGAGAATTGTTGGCAGCCGCGTGTATACAGGGCTGTGCCGGCCGCAGTGTGCCCCACCCAAAACAAACCCACTCCCTACCCAGGGCAAGACAGGAAGCCCAAGACCCTCGACATACCCCAAGGATGAGAACAATGCCAAGTGACGAAGCCCTCAAACGGGAGTGAGACCAGAACGTCCCAGGAAAGATAACCCCGAAATGCATGGGAAGTACTTACCGGGCACCTAGGAAAGATAGCCCTAGGCACATGCAACCCAGCGTACAGAGAACACCTAGCCACCACACCACCACACACAGCTGGCACAGCTACAAAGGCTAAATCCCGACAGGAAAGCGAGGCCAGAGGAGACGTGTGGACATCAGGCACATCAGTCCCGAAATGGTGGGGTAAGCTGCCTTCTCGCCTGAGCGGGCGTGCTAGTTGGATGATGATTTGCTTGTTTGTTTTCTTTTGGGGGGAAGTACTTTGGCTCTCTTCGGACAATTTTCATTAGTTGGGTGTTTGTACTATTTTGCCTGTGTTTCTGGGG